GGAGGCCGATATTCTTTCTTACGCCTCACCTGGCCAGCTCGTATAGGCTTATGTAGGCGGATAGTTTAGGGTCTTGTGGTCCAATCGGTATGGCCTTATCTCGGCTGTTCGTTGCTCATTAAGAGTTGCCAGGCTCCATATAAATTAGGCGCAAAATCAGTGCCACTCCGGAAGCATTTGGCAGTTTTAGCCCAATAATTCCCTGTTCTGTCGCTTATCACGCCATTTCGAGGCCATAATTTTTTTCCTCTAAGACATGTGGAAGTATTGTGGATTATTTCGGGCCATTCCGAGTCGTGCTTCTGGGCCCAAAAATCGTAAGTGTACCCCTTTTGGCGTAGGGAGCCCTGTGTGTAGCTCTGCTCCAGAGCCCGATATCTTCTGTACGCCTCAACCTGCAGGTTCGCATAGGGCTCATCTTAGGCGATAGTTTAGGGTTCTAACCGGCCGGGAACCGAAACGGTTCCAGTCTGGTTCCAACGGTTCTCTAGAACTGCCGTTCCGATTCTAGAAATTGGAACCGGAACCGAACCGAAATCTTCGGTTCTGATTTCGGTTCAGGCCCGATTCGATTACGGTTCCAGACCGGTTTCGAACCGACGGTTCCGGTTCCAGAAACCGTTAAATATGCCACCCCTACTTAGCTGCTATTATAGAAAAACAACAGGATTCATTACTTTACCCAAATTTACATCATATATTCTAAGCAACTCATATCATCCATAACAATATACATTATATAAAACGAAATACACTAATAATCCTTAATTAACATTCAAATACATAATACTTAATAATATTAAACCCTTATTAGTATTAACTTCATAAGGAAATAAAACAATCCCCTAATATTAATAAATTCACCATATAAACTTGTTTGAATACTAACCAAAAATCTGCTAACTAGCTAATTAAACCCTTCTAAGATCGAAGTCTAACGACTCCTTGATTTTTCAGCCTGAAGCCTTAATTTCTATATACGTCAATCCACAATCATAATCAATGATGTCAGATTTAGTAAACAATTAAATCACCACACGAAAAATGCAATGTTCTGCCTCTTTGAGAATGCTTCCGGTCACCGGAGCCACCGCTTGTCTCCGCCGTCTACGGTGGCCGGAGGTACCATAGGTTCCTGAATCTTTTGCAACTCTTACGCCAAGACATAGCAAATTTCATATAGAACTTCAGTTCTATAGCCAACCTACTACAAAATATGTCAATATCTAAACGAAATCCCATCTATTTCTTAAATTCCCTTAAGTCCCATTTTGATCAATTTCCTTCAAAATAAATCGCCTATCTATACAAAATAATTTCTAAAGGAGTGAAATGGCAGGACAATCAGCTTACCTCGTCGGAGATAGTCGTCGGAGTTGGTCGGAGGGAAGGACGGAGACGCGACTGTCTTCGATCGGGCTGAAGTCCTCAGGCTTCGTTGTGACTTTTGAGCTCCACCAGAAACAGAAACGGAGAGCAGGAAAGGAAGGCCGGGCTGCTGCGTGAGAGGTCGACGCAAAGGTAGGCGCGGTGCGGAGGTCTCTGGTTGTCGAAAAATGCAGATGGAGCGAAGAGGGGAGGGTGAGGGTCGACGCTGCTGGAATAAGAAGAAAGGATAGAAAAAAAAAAAAAAGAAAAAGAAAGAAGAAAGAAGAAAGTAGGTCGGTTTCTAGATCATTCCGGTTCGATTCGAACACGATTTGATTCAGATTTCACGATTTTGGCTCGATTCTTGCTCGCGTTTGCAGGTTTTTCACTTGGTTTTCAGATTATTCGTTGTGGTTCTCCGAAAAATCGATTTGATTCCCGGGTTCATTCGGATTTTATTGTAATTATTTAGTTAGGTTAGAAAAACATTTCTTCCATTTACTTAATAATTAATAAAAATAGTAATTAGTAATGATATTGGATTTTAGAATAATTATCTAATATATTTTAATTAGATTAATGGCTGGTTGTTTCATATTATTTCTTTGAAAATTTTAACTTTCTCAGTTCGGAAAAATTCCGATGATTTATTTTGGGCTTAGGCCCAAACTTCGCAAAATTTGGGCTCGAATTGAGATTGGTTCGGTATTTATAGCCCATATAGTTGGAAAATCGAGATTTTTAATTTAATAAAAAATTTCGAAAGTTTCGAAAATAAAAATTCGGGAGTATTTCAATTTAGTAATCTGAATAAAAACTCAACAAGGTCAAGCATACCAATATAGGATTTCTTGTTATAATTTGTTTCCTTGCAATTTGCATGTTTTGGCGAAAAATATAAATTATCATTATTACGATCCAAACAAACAAAACTTAAAATCTTATAAAAAAGAGAAAAGTAAAAAAAAAATAATATACTAATTTAATCATTCTCTTTATATTCTTAATTTTGATAAATATATAGGATATATCTAACATTATATTAAAGACGTTGGTAGTACATAAATAGTTTATAAATACAAATAATCGAACGTAATATTGACCAATATATAAGATAAGAAAGTCTAATAAAATTTAAATATAGATAACATATATTAGAGATTATAAATATTAGATAGGTAGAGAAAAAGAAAATATATAGATATAATTATTAACCACTGAGATATTTACATATTACAAACATAATATGTATTATTGTTTTAAAATTTAGATAAAATATTTGGAAATTAATGTTAATAAATTTGAGATTTTTAGATATTAAAAATAATAGAATGTAAATTAGTAATAAACATATAACTTTCAGTATTTAATGATACATAATTAATATATTAGATTTTTAAAATCATTAATTATTATAATAAATATGGGCCTTTTGGGACCTTCTCATTTCCTTCTGGCACCTTGCTGCATCTTTTTGAAGGTTCAGAAGAAATTCGTTGATCAGCTCCTGGTATACATGCACTGTTAACGTTTCGGAGGGTGACAGTCTTGGTTTCTGGTAGAGTTGGACTTGGAGCAGATGATATTGCGCTGGGTGTTAACAGGAAGTTGTTGAAAGTTCTGACAAAGAAGTGGCATTTCAGAAGATTGTGGAAGCTGGACTTTGGGCCTACGTTTCACCATCCTGAAGTGTTAAACTTTCTCAAAACCTCCGGCTGCAGCGCATCTTTGCTTCTTAAAAATATTAAAAACAAATACATACTATTAATCAAATGGGCATTTTACTTAAATTTATATTGAGTGAGTATTTATTATTAACTAAAAGGTCAATTCCTTTGTTCTTCAAAGCCGTCATTTATCAATTAATTTTATAAATATCAATAGTAGGCCAACAAAATAAGTGAAAATAAAAAAAATAAAAAAAAAAAAAGAAAAGAAAACTGAGATACGAAGAGAAAGAAAGGAGGAACAGAGAAACTCGCATTATCTTCAAAAATAAATAAATAAATAAAAATAAACAGCAAAAATTATACAGCACATGCAACAGCGTAGTGGTTTTTACTCCCTCACATTTGAGCCTCGAACTGTCCTTTCTTGTTGATAGAGAGATAGAGAGAAAGGAAAAGGAGGAACAAGAGAACTCGCATTATCTCAAAAAAAAATAAATAAATAAAATAAACAAGCCAAAAATTATACAGCAACATGCAACAGGTAGTGGTTTTTACTCCCTCACATTTGGAGCCTCGAACTGTCCTTTCTTGGTTGATAGATAATTATGTTGTGATGCCAAGGGCGAGAGTATATTACTGTAGCATAAAGAGCAGACATAATTCTTAGCAAATTTGAACTTCATGTTACTTGTAAATACCGCAGACCAGCTGCCAGCATCTTTTTGGAAGATGGAAGGTCTCTATTAGATTGTTGTTAGATTGTCAGATGCAAATAATACACGATGAAATAACATTCAAGGGTATTTGGGTATTTTCACTTAATTTTAACGGTTAAAAACTTAGAATTAGACGGATGGATCTTTTAATGAGACAAAGGCAAATGGGAGGGATCTTTTAATGAGACGGAGTGATGCGTCCCACAACGCCCGCGGAGTACATCCTGAGCTAGAAGGCTGGATTAAATCTTTCCTCTACAAGCTAACTTTTGAGGCGAAGTTAGGGGTCCACTCTTGCAAGAGTGTCTCTTGCAAGAGTACTTGCAAGAGTCCCTCTTGCAAGACTTATCACGTAGACGGAGGCAAACCATATGGTATTTGCAGCCTGTACAGTCAAAAGTCCAGATTTTGATTTAACAAAAATTCAAAAATTTTGATAATAAAATTTCAGAGTGTTTCATCTATGAACCCTTGTAACTATGTTTAGTTTAGATCTGACATCTTCTGTGCGTCTGATAAGCAGCTTGGGTGGGGTTTTCCTGACAATAGTATGGGTTATTGTGGTCAGATAGATATGCTTGTCTCGCTTGCTTAGTGTCTCATTCAAAATTGCATAGAGCAAAATTTTTCACTGCGGAAGAATTCAAGAGTTTTGACTCAATAACTCTTTGTCTATTGCATTGATCTTTGGAAAGATGTTATTACGATGGTTATGAGAACCAGACTAAACCGCCGGTTCAACTGGTTTAATTGAGAACCAGACTTTGGTCTGATCCGAATTGATTAGTAAAGATGGGAGCTACAAAACTAGTAAGAACTGAATAAAAAACCAGTGAACCGAACCCGTAAATATTACGGTTCGATTTTAAATCAAAAAGTAAAGAAAAAATGGAATGTCTTTTAAGGTCTTTAGCCATCCTAATTTGTGTAGTTAAAGCAAAAGACCTATGTACCTAAACATGATTCCATCGTTATCCTTGCAGATTTAATTACTTCATAATTTTGCAATGCCTGTTAATATCAAATAATTAAGACGTTAAGTGCATTTTAATATATGGCTCATGACTTTTGTTCATACATCTGTTTACATCGGCAGATTTTTATTCTTTTTAAAGAAATAGGAAGTGTTTTTTCACTTTTTTCCGTCTAAAGAAATAGGAAGTGTTTGACATTGGTTCTTTTCATCACATCATTATCATCTTCTTGACCTTTGTGCATACTCTAACTTGATAAAAGCAAATTAAGGTGATAAAAGAAAAGAATCGTTACTGCAATTGCCCCCAAATGTGACATTGAATTGGACTGTCGCATTGATTGGAAAGATAAGCAGAAAAACATTATTTTTCAAGAAAACTAAAACTGAATCAAAATAAAGCCTAATTTACTTGCATGGTTACTGTACAAAAACGTCATGCATGTTTTTATTGAACTGCTAATCTCTGAAGATGATCCAAAAAGACCTCAAAGCTCACATCATCTGTAAACAATATATCCCCGCCTGAAAGAGCAGCATCAGTGTTGTATGTAGCAGAAGGATTTAACTTTGCCAGAAGAAAACGGGCCTGTATTAACATTATTGATTAGTTGGCACAGTAAATAAAACACTACAAAAATTAAGAATGTTGCATCTTCACGTCATTGCATATAAGAAGTGCTTCAGAATCTCTGGACGATGAAATAATTGTTAAGACCGTTGGTAGCAGTTACATTAAGCTTCTTATCATTTGCATTTATATCCATCTGGCCTCTTCTTTAAAGCACAGAAAGAAAATATAAAATCATCATGTGTTTGTAACAGTGCTTTAAAACTGAAAAGAGTAGGTAAGAACTCAAAACACGGTGACAGCTAGTTCAATCCAACTTCTCTTTATGATCATTTTTTACCCTAAAAAAAATACTTAAAACTTCATTTGACTTGTAATTGGCCCGAGTTAGTTTATGATGTTATATTCTACTTGTGCATATAATAGCAGTTATTATTACTGACAACTACCTAAAATCAACATAATTTTATACTTTGACATGCTTAAATGCTTGCCAAGATGTGGAAAGAGTGATATTTAACAACCTGTGAACCATGTTGATCACAAATGACTAAACGGGGAACTGGAAATCTTTCCTTGATTATTGCATCCACATCATCACGAGGAGCTTGCAGCAACTGAGCAAAAGCCTGCAATAACAAAAGCAAATCAAAATACAGTGTTAAGGCAACCAATTTTGCCAGATTCTAAAAGCAAGTCCTGTAAGACAATTTATGGGAATTTAGATGCAGTTGATAACCACTGTTAAATGCATGTGACAAATTGTGGCTAAATTTCAGAAAAAAGAGGAGCACAAACATCAAACCAAATCAAAGACAGGTTTTTTTTTTCTATTCTTTTTATTCCATATCTTGACAAATCACCTGATGTTCTGGTTGATTATGGTAGCCAGCTTTTCGCCACTGAGCAATGGTTGAACCATGAAAAATAACAACAGTGAAATAAGAGTCTAAAAGCAGAATCCTGTCAGCTGCAATGGCAGCGACATCAAGAAGAGACGGTTCTGGTCCTGAATGAAATGAGTAAGAAATCAACGAAGGCTGTATCATCACAACAGAATTGGCAACATTTTCCCGGTTCAGTATGACTCTGAAGTATGCCGTCTCATCTGGGCTGTTGTTGAAGACCTGTCATTTTTATATATCAGAACTGAAGAGGATTTCAATCGAACTACAGAAAACGTCATATTGCAGGCTAAACAGTTAATGGTGAATACCTGAACAAATTGGGAACGTCGTAAATGAAACATGAACTGAGGGAAGATTGAAATCCGCGGTGATAAGCTGAAAGAAGACGGATTGTCCTTCTGGTAATCTCCAAACAGCGAACATAGATGTATTAAACCTTTATCTAGCCATCTTATTGGGTCAAATTCAGCCTGCAGGCCCAGTACCATCGCACATAGCGTAAGATTGCATTTTAGAGAGAGATGTCGATTACTTTATCCAAACGATTTCAGCAATCAACAAAAAAATGAAGCATGGTGCAATCGCATTCTAGGCCCAATTCTCCTGGATCTGAACATATAAAATAGCCAAAAAAATTGTCCTTGTTACCTCAGTTTCCATTTTGAAAGAAACTAGTCGCGCCATGGCTACAGCAGCTGCTTCTTGGTCAAATCCAGCTATCAAATCCTACAGCAATTTATATTAGATTCAGAAGCACAAAGACTGATGTAGAACAAGTAGCAGAAAAATGTATGAAGCATTTGGAGCATCAAAAGGCCAAGAAAAACTCCAAGTAGTTCTAATGTTTTCTTATTTTGACAGGATTTCCTTTTCCTATTTTGAGAATTTTTTTTTTTTTTTTTTTAGGATTTCCTTTCCAATTTCTGATTAGGATTATCGCCTATTTGTTTAGTGTTAGTTGTTTTTTCCTTATTAGTTTAGGATCCTCGTTATTCTAGAATTTGAAGACTATAAATAGCCCTTAGTTTCTTTGTTTTTTATCAGACTATGTTTATTTCTGCTTCAATAAAGTTTCTGCCATTGAAACTTGATAAGATTTATTATTATATAATTCTTGTTTTTCAGCGGTTGTCTCGCTGTGTCAGTTGGTAGCAGAGCCATGACTAACTGAACCAATTAGAAAACCGGCGGTTCTAGTGATGACGATCATAGAACTGAGGCTCCTAGGTTGCAAGATCAAGGGACAGCAACAAGAGAATGGAGGCAGCAAGTAGGTCAACAGTTCGACGATTCGAGAGACGCTTCAACGATGTCCTTGAGAGGCTTGATGCTCTAGCTTTTTGGGCAAACAGAAATAGGGATGAAGACACGTTTTGCGCTGGTGAAGAGGTAGCTCACCACCGACCAAACAGGCAACCTATTTTTGATAATCAATGTGGACATGTCAATGAGATAGTTCTGACGATGATTTTGACCAATAGCAAGAAACGTCCAAAACACAAGGAGAAGACAAAATCGCTATGATGAAAGAGATGCACCAGAATTTCGTTTAAAGGTAGATATGCCTAGCTTCAACAGTTATTTAAATATTGAAGAAGTCTTAGATTAGATACTCCTACCTTCAACAGTAATTTAAATATTGAAGAAGTCTTAGACTAGATTGCTGAAAATTCTTCGAGTACATGGAAATACCTGAAGAGAAGAAAGTGCAACCAGTAGCATGTAGATTGAAAGGGTGTGCTTTGGCATGGTGGGACAGAATCCAATCTCATCGATTATGCGAAGGAACACGGAGTGCAAAATTGGGACAAGATGAGGTGACATTTAAGGAGAGATTTTTGCCACCTGAGTATGAGCAAATTTTATTTCAGCAGTAACAACGATGTCATCAAGGTAACCAATCAGTTCATGAATGTACAGCTGAATTTATGAGATTAGCGGAACAGAACAATCTAAAGGAATCTGAAGGCCAACTGGTTGCGAAGTATTTGGATGGGTTGAAGACAACCCTTAAAGATGACATTGGGATTCAAGTCATTAAAAAATGGCTAAAGCTCGAAAATTGCAACTAAATCAGAATATATGATGCAAGAGAAGGTGAAATTAGGTTATTCTCGTAAAAAATATGGCAGGAATTACTCCAAGTATTATGGGGATACAAACAAGGCGTCCAAAGCTTCTAGCTCAAACAATGACCAACAAGACAAAAAAGGTTACTGGAAAACAGAAGGTGACGAAGATACAAAGTAGGCTCCAAAGTCAACAAATCGTTATGCACGACTGATCTAAGGTAATCAGCCTGGGCATTGTTCTAGTGATTTTCCTCTGTGAAAAACAATTAATATCATAGACAGAGAAGCCGAGCAAGATGATGAAATTTACTGTGACCTGAAAGATAAATCTTAAAGGCATCATTTATTTCAAACCAGAGCACTGTTTCTAACCATCTCTTTGATGTGATTATTGATAGCGATAGTTGTGAGAACATTATTGGAAGGGATACCGTCAAGCAATTGGGACTAAACCCTAAACCTAAAACTTCCAAAAAGGATGGAAGTTGGCGGATTTGTGTTAACGGGCGTGCCATCAATACGATCACTTTGGGATTTAAATTCCTTATTTCTCATCTTGATGACATGCTTGATCATTTACATGGAGCCAAAATCTTTACAAAAATAGATCTTTTATATGGTTACCATCAAATTCGCATACGACTGTATTCAAAGCCAAGGAAGGGTTATATGAATGGCTTGCAATGCCATTTGGGCTCACTAATGCTCCTAGCACTTTTATGAGATTGATGAATCAGGTACTCACACCATTTATTAGTAAATTTGTTGTCGTGTACTTTGATAATATATTAATCTACAGCCAATCTAAGGAGGAGCACATGGCACACTTGTGCAAAGTACTGTCTTGCAAGAAAATAAATTGTACATTAACCTAAAAAAATGCAGCTTCATGACAAATCAGTTGCTTTTTCTGGGTTATGTTGTTAGGGAACAAGGAATTCAAGTAAATGGTTAAAAGATCAAAGCTATTCGAGATTGGTCTAGGGTTTAGGGTTTAGGCAATCAAAGGAGAATTAGTTAGGATATGCATGCTAGATCATCTGAATTTTTTCAAAAGTTTCCACTTAGAACAGATTTATTGTAGACGATGAGTCAATAGTAATTAAAGGCGCAAGGCACTCAGGCACAAAGGGCTGTTGGAGCCTAGACACTAGCATCCAGGCGAAGGCGTGCACCTGAGTGAAAGTGAAGCCAAAAAAAAAAAATAAAATAAAATAAAACACAAAAATCTGAAAATTATATTTTAAGATTACAAGTTATATTTTATGATATTAGACTTCATACAGAAAATAGGAACAAAAAAAATAAAAAAAAAAGAAAAAAAAATGGAAAGCAATATAGGAAGAGAAATTGAATGAGGCATATCTAAACGGATGTGGGCTAAAGACTAGATTCCAAGAGGTGAGTGCTAGATGAAGGAGTGGAGGTTCGATCACAAAGCACATCACCGGTTTTTGTGTTGCAATTATTTTATTTAGTTATTTATTTATTTTGTGTGAGCTGATATTGCCTAGATAGCTTTATATTAAAAGAAAACCATAGGTGACCTACTCTGGAGAAACAAAAAATAGTTTGAGCCTTAGACGCAAAAGGCACATGCCTCTACCCAGAGGCGATAGCCTGAATGAAGTCATCCGCTTGAGGACTGTTGAGGCGCAAGCCCTTAAGCCTTAAGTAAGGTATGCCTAAGGTGTGCCTTTAATAACTATTGAACCAAGAAGTTATGGGTTTTGATAACATGAAGGAGTTATACGTTGAGGATGAAGACTTCCATGATGTGTGACATAAATGGTCTATTCGCCAACCTGCTGATGATTATTATGCACAAGATGGGTTCCTAATGAAAGGTAACCAACTTTGTATTATACCTTCACTAAGGAAGAAATTAATTTGTAATTTGCATGGTGGAGGTTTAGCTGGGCACATGGGTAAAGATAAGACTTTATCTATTGTATTCAAAAGATTTTATTGACCTCATATGCGTAGAGATGTTGAGAACTTTGTGAAGAGATGTTATGTTTGTCAAGGACAACCTCAGAACATGGGTTAGTATATTCCATTACCCGTCCCTGAAAATATTTGGGATATTTTGTCCATGGAGTTTATCCTTAGATTACCTAGAACACAAAGATGGGTAGACTCTATTTTTTGTACTCGTTGACAGGTTTTCTAAGATGAACCATTTTATTCCTTGCAAGAAGACTTCTGATACTTCTTCTATAACTAACTTGTTCTTCCTTAAGTCATTTTTTATGTACTTGTGGTATTTGTTTGATTCTTCTTTGCAGCATAGCAGCACAGCACATCCACAAACAGATGCCAAACTGAGGTAGTGAATAGAACACTAGCGAATTTGACTCAAAGCATTTGTGCAGGTCGACCGAAACGATGGGATTTTGCCCTTGCTCAAGTTGAATTTGCCTAAAACAATGTTGTCCACAGTTCTATTGGAAGGTCACCATTCTCTATGGCTTATACAAAGTCACCATAACATGAGCTTGACTTAGTAAAATTGCCAAAGATTCCTGGAGCTAGTGTTGCAGCTAGAAATATGGCAAACCAATGGCAAGAAATTCAAGTTGGCAGTCAAGGAGAAGTTAGAACAATTCAGTGCCAAATACAAGCAAGCTACAGATCTTCATCGAAGCAGCAGACATTCAAAGTTGGTGATGATATGATGATGTTTCTTTGAAAGGAGAGGTTTCCAATTCGCACCTATGGCAAACACAACCTAAGAAGCATGGTCCTTACAAGATCCTTAGCAAAATCAACGATAATGATTATGTGGTGGATCTTCCTACTTCATTTGGTATTCCAAAACATTAATATGGTGGACATTTATCCATTTCATCCGTCTAATGAACTTTTGTATCTTGATATTTTTAATAACTCGAAGTCGAGTTTTTCTCAAGTGGAAGGGAATGATGTAGAACAAGTAGCAAAAAAGTGTATGAAGCATTTGGAGCATCAAGAGGCCAACAAAAAGTCCAAGTAGTTCTAAATTCTAATGTTTTCTTATTGTGGACCGGATTTCCTTCTCCTATTTTGATCAGAGTTTGTTTATTTTTGCTTCAATTAAATTGCAAGTTCGCGGATTTTTTCACAAGTTTCTGCCATTGAAACTTGATAAGAATTATTGTGATATAATTCTTGTTTTTCAACTCTTATCTCACTGCGTTATAGATGCTGCCTAGTAGTAGCAGTAATAATGATAACTAAATATGACCCTCAGGAGATCTACACACAATCTTATCACAATTTGCATAGTTAACTGATTCACCTACTTTACAAGAATCTAGCACTCAAATAAACATATGTAAACCCTATCTATTTTAAAAAGCCTAATGATATTTTACTCCAGTAAAATATGTCAATACTAAATATCAGCTGCAAACAGCTAAAATTGGTTTTCTAAACAAGTACCAATTCCGGTCATCATCCACTAGCAAGAAGCTATCAGATAAGAATTATTACTTCTAACTCAAAGAAGGAGCAGTTTAAATTTCCTCCACCTTCTTTAACCTAGAAATCAAATGGTAAATAGCTAAGAAGTACGGACATCTGCCAACACCTTTGGGACACAGACAATGCCGACATGCTTTCACCATGACTCCATACATATCTGATTTATTTATGTGTATGCGCGCGTCAAAATATTATTCACACCTGGGACAAAGCTGGGACACTTTGTTACTTTTTGTTTTATTTAGGATTTCAAGTCTACAAAGATTAATATGAACAAAGTATCAAAAAAAAAAGGACATACAACAACATTTTATAGCAAATAATATGCTAAATTTTCAACTTTAAATTTTCAAAAAAAAAAAAAGTAGTTAATAAAAATAACTTGTCTTTACTGTGTTCCTCCTATGTCATATCCTAAATTTTTTAAAGACAGTCATGTAGGCAAGCCCATACCATGTCATATATATATCCTATGTCTGTGCTTCATAGGTAAATGGTAATGCATTGCACAAACAAGAGGACAAAAAAGCTTGCCTGTATACTTCCAGGCCCAGCAACCCATCTTCTCGAAAGGGTTGTAACACGAAGTCTCATTTGACCACTGTTGTGCTGGTAGCTGCAGCAAAATTTCAGTTATAAGCAAAAAAAAAATTTCCATATTTGTCAACCATGTCAAGCATACAACACAAAAATACCCACTAAAGAAAGCACGGGCTTGGATTTCATACTATGTTAAAAATTGAAAGTAAAATTGATTGCTTGAAGGCTGAAGAGCAGCATCTGAACTCTCCTTCCTCACAATGTCAAAAATTATACATAAAGTTGTAGCTTTGTCTAGGCCACACATCTTCCAAGCACTAGTATTCCCCTGGCCAATGACAGTATCGGAGCACAAAGGGCCTTTCTGCATAAAGTGACTGAAAGTAAATGGTGAAATGAAGTAAAAAGAAAGAATGGGGGGAAGAGAATGGGGAAGGTGATGGGATTCTTTCAAATCTGGTAGAAATACCTTTTCGAGTGATGCACAAGGACCAATAATGCCCTGAACTTTGATATCCTTCGAGCAGTTTATCTCAAATATACCACTATATGCACGACAAAAGGGAAAATGACATTACGATAGCACTCCAGTTTAAGTAACCACAAATGTATAATGACTGAAAGCATGGAGATCACAAAAAAAGATAATCAAGGCAAACTCTGTTAATGTCAAGTTCAGTAGTTGATAAACCGATTGGGAAGAGAGATGGATATAGTTGGACAATTCCCAAAGAGTGAATAAACTTTTAGTAAAAACTTAAAGTTCAACATATGATGGAATATGTCTACTATTTTAAGATTAAGGAAATGCATAGACTTCAAAATTTCAGACAGAAACATATATAGAGATTGATTTGCTCTTACTTTGATGATAGCCCAAGGTCATAGTCACCCAACTGGAATATACGTCTCAGTGAATCCTTAAATACTGAATGGCCAAAGCTTTCTGCAAGCACAACAAGCCCACCAGTTTTTTCAACCGCAACTTTAAGTTCAGCAATCCCCACCTAGGAATGATAGACAAGTAAATGAAACTCATATAGATTTGCAAGCAACAAGAGGTGTTCAGAGTAGGAAAGTGCAACAAAAAGTCCACTAAATAAATAGCTGAGAGCAATAAGCAATATATTAAATGTGAGCAAGAGACAAACCTAATAATTCTTTTGGTTCAATGGACTAAATATGTGATTGCATAAAACAGTACTCTTTGTCCTGTCCAATTGGTGTGCTGTTTGGTACACCAAGTGGACAGGACGTAATTGGATTATTGTCTTATCCAGTCCTTTTTCTCTCCCTTCACTCCTCCATCGGACAACTGTTCAGTCCCATGGAGCAAGAGTAACAAAATTCAAATCCAGCAATCCACCAGCATAAAATAAATATAAATATTCTTTAATTATTGTACATTGAAAGACACTGATTATGAAATCTCACTATGAAATATTATTATATATTCATTTATTATTTATTTATGTTATAAAAAATTATTTAAAAAAGTAATTATTTAAAAAAATCTTGCAGTTGCAATAGTGGTTCAACATTTGTATATTTCCTCCTCCAATATCTGACAATCATCAATATGTAAAAACAGAAAAAATAATTACATATATTTATGCTTATTGTTTAATAGTGTCATGCGCTATTAATCACAACACACTAATCACAAAATAATTAAAAGGTATGAATCAATCTACATGTCCGAGGTTAAGTAATTTGTTTGCCCTACATTTGTCAAACGGAAGAGAATCTGATTTCTCGTCTTGTCCAATGTTGTGTAGTCCCTAGAGCCAAAAGCAGCCTAAAAACTTAAAAAACATCTTCTGGTGTTTCTCTTCCCATAATAACTACGAGATTAATAAAGAGTGCACGACAGGGAAGAACCCGTTCAATTCTGCGGATAAGAAAGAATGCTAACCCCCTCCTCTCCCATCCACAAAAGAAAAAACGAAAAAAAAAAAAAAGAATTCAATGCTTCTAAAATTTGAGCTATCCACATAGAGAGAGAGAGAGAGAATCTGATTTCTCGTCTTGTCCAATGTTGTGTAGTCCCTAGAGCCAAAAGCAGCCTAAATGCTTAAAAGACAACTTATGGTGTTTCTCTTCCCATAAAAACTACGAGATTAATAAAGAGTGCACAACAGGGAAGAACCCGTTGAATTCTACAGATAAGAGAGAATGCCAATCCCCTCCTCTCCCACCCACAAAAGATAGAAAAAAGGCGAATTCAATGCTTATAAAAGTTGAGCTGTCCACAAAGAGAGAGAGAGAGAGAGGAAGGAAGAACAAGGATACAATAAAGGACACATACAATCCAAAAAGCACTCAACACTGCAACAACAGAGGCAAATATGAAATCAGGAAGGAGCCAGCCATAAAAGCATTTAAAGCAAGAGACACAACCAGCAATCATATTATCATTTGGCAAATCATCGATCTAAACTCAAACTTATAGCACTATTTTCCACTTAGAGGAAGTGTTATGGACATATAGAAAATATGGGAATTATTGAAATTAATTAGTTAAATTGTCGTGGATTCCTAATTAGTACAGGATCCCTAGAATTAGTTAGATTATTAGTTTCAATAAGATTCAATAAAACATGGGTTCCTAATTAGTGTAGGATCCTAGATTCTAGTTAGTCTAATCCTAAATAGACTAAACTTCCTATGTTTATAATTTCCTAGTTTGTCATTGTAACCTCTATTTAAAGAGGTATTATTGCTATTAGTAACCTCTATTTAAAGATAACAGGTATTTTGTCTTATTAATAAAATAAGTTTAGAATATTCCCAAAACACAAGAATTGTAGCTCTCTCTAACGAGATCCAAGGTTTCTCATAATTCCCTTGAAGACTTGATATTATAGCCCAAAAAATAGAGTCAAGCTGGATTACTTGGTTAGTTTAAACTCATAATCAATTAGGATGCCAACCTCTATTTAAAGAGGTATTATTGCTATTAATAAAATAAGTTAGAATATTCCCAAACACAAGATTGGAGCTCTCTCTAACGAGATCCAAGGTTTTCAAATTCCCTTTGAAGAGCTTGAATTAATTAGCAAAAATAGGTCAAGCTGGATTACTGGTTAGTTAACTCATAATCAATTAGATGCCAGTTCCACAACATATGTATGAGCTGGATTTAATAGTTGAACATTACCTGGTCAAGGGCACATGCATACAGATCAAGCACATGGCCTTGATGCACAAGCTGCTTTGCAAGTCCTTCATAGAACTTCACAGCTTTATGATAATGTGGAGCAGAATCTTTATCCAGATCCTTGTGAGATCGAATAGGTTCGGAGAGATTCTTTGACACAATCTAGAGAACACAGAAAAAACTCAGCTGAACATCTCTTCAAAAGCCTGTCAATGGCAACAGGAAAATATAGAAACATAAAGAATAAACAATAAAAATATCCCTCTGTTAATACAAATTGAACATGGAAATACCACCTGAAGCGCCCAACTGAAACAGTCATAGAGAAGAAGTTAACATATATGGAGGGATACAACATAAAGCTCAAGTTTGGACCTAGGAGAGTTATCAAGAATCCAATGGATAACCAGTCAAGAGTCCCAATGGAATTAAAGCAACCTTTGAAAATGAAAAGTGAATAACCCCTGGTCTGGTGTAAATGGATTTGAAGTATAGAATTCATTCGCAAGCTGGTTTAGCTATGTTGAATTCGGTAAAATTGAATTCCAGAGGTGAAACATATGAAACGTGAAAGTTTAAATGGACGTAAAATGTTTAGTTCATTTATACTAAACAGCACATAAAATTAAAAGATTAATGGTAGGGTAAGAATTGACTTAAAAGATAAAAGAGTGGTTGCTTAAGAGAGAAAATCAAAGTCCTTACAGCACCATGTCCTTCGGTGGATGGACCACCAATGAATGCCATAATTCGAGCTCCAGACCCAGGAACACAAGCACCTAACAAGCTGGCAGCCACACTGAGAGCCGTGCTGGTACACCTAGTAGCTCGCTGATCAGGTGGAACAGGCCAAGGATCTTTCTGCAGCTCCTCCAAAACCTTGCATTAATTTTGTTTTGTTAGGGGATAATAAAAACAAGCATTAAAAAAAAATAGAGGAGAAGAAAGTTGGAAATTGGCAGTCACCGAATTCAGAGTAAATTCACACTCAGAGGCCGGCAAGAGGAAGCGGGAAATACTCTCGGAAGATAGACCATCCCTGGTGCCAGCAATGACACCAATGGGTGGCTTGGGCTTCTTGGTAAAGAAACCCATCTGGTCGAGAAGCTGGTCCTTGGACACATCCTTGGAGCCCTTGAAGACATAGGTCTTAGAGATCTGACCCAAGCCTAACTCATGAACATTGACCAAGGTTCCGAAAGTTATAAGGCCAATGAGAGAATTGTCTGGCAGTAGGTCTATGGCCTGAGACAAGGCAGACTTGAGGAATGTCATTTCCTCCTCAATGATGCAAGTGTCCACCACGAACATATATACCGAAGAGGACGAACACTTCTCTCCGAGCGTCTCATACTCAATGGTGGTGTACTGCGGGAAGAGCTCAGCAGGGAGGTTGTCATCACTGATGGAGGCGTAATGAGGCGGGAAGTGATTGCGTTGGAAGCAGAAGGGGCAAATCCAGATCTTAGCTGCAAAATCGACAATCGAGAATGGGTTAAGCACAGAGCGGCAAGTGCGGCAGCGTAGAGGAGCGTAAGGAAGGATCGGCATGTTTGGAAAGGGCTTGATTGGAGTATACATGGCGGAGACTGGGACCACGCAGTTACTGGCCTCTTGCTTGGTGCCTGGTAGCACGTTCCATGGCATTCTCACTCCATCCTGTGCTTCCAGGTCTAAGAATTCTGCCATTTTTCCTGCAAATTTGTATACATATTCAACAGAATTCAATCTAAAATCATGCAGTTCTATTGAACTGAAATTCAATCCGCGCTCTATGTGAGACACTAACAATAGAATTTACAATCTTATCCATCCAAAAACCATAAATTGAGATAACAAGTGCAAAAATAACATAAAAAAAGAATTGGGCTTCAATACAAAATTCAAAGTTTCAAACATGCAAGCAAGTAAAACTTATTAATCAAAATAATTTTGAAGTGTCTTAAGATTAGAAAACCAATTCCCTGAGAAAAAAAACTATGTTGACCTCACACTTGAATGAAACAAAAATAAAGGAAAAGGGAAAACTGCACCTAGACAGGACAGCTTGAGTAAGCGCTGATCTCTGATTGATTGATCTGAGAATTATAAAGAAACTGAAGTTGGAAATTACGAAACGATCATGAAAGAGCAATACTTTTTATTTTTTGTAAAAAAACAAAATTCAAAATAACAAAATTTTGTTTGACCAATAAAGCATCTGTATTGACTATTTTTAAGATATTAAAAGTAAAGAATAATGTGCAATTGTTATAGATACTGTTAGTAACACATAGGGTTCACAGCGGGTCAAGTATGGCCAAAAGGCCTACCCAGACCCAAACCCAAACCTATTTAACACAAATCCATACAACACACTAAAATCTAAACCTGTATATATACCCTTCTAAAACTCAAACCCATATAATAATAATAATAATCATAAAATCTGCATAAAGTTACTTCCAACACAAACTAAGAATACCATTTCCTTAATTACAACAGACATACTAAAGCAACAACAAAAAACTGGATTCTAAATAAATTTCCCAATCTATTACGAAAAATATTTGGGAGACACAGTTTCCAGCTTCCATAGTGTAAATTAATGAATTACAAACATCCAATATTGAGTTCAAAACACTTTAAGAAAATCCCTAACTTATATATCCTTGCAATGTAAGTCTTAATTCCTATACTTGCATTCAAGGTTAAAATAAAAGCATGCATATAACAACTTTAATGGACAAAATCACTTCCAAATTTAAAAAAAAAAAAAAAAAAAAACACTCATACTTGTCATGGAACCAGAAAGAGCAATTAAAGACAATGAAGAAAGATAGACATATACAAACAATTAGAAACCTGGACAACTTAACAAGCAAGAATTAGAATTTTTCAATTTTTCTAATTGTAAAATTAGAGAGAGGTGTAACTGAACCAGTCAGCCAAAATAGCTCCACAAATAAAGAAAGCAAAGTTTTTAATCAATAACTAAAAAGAATTAAAATATATAGATCTTTTAATATGCATAGGTCACCAAATGAAAAGAGAGAAAATAATAACTATCACAATTTCATTAAAATTAGGATCCAAACAAAACATACTCATAAGGTTGGAAACAGGTTAAGTACCCACCAAAAATGCACAACCTGAACCTGTTTATAGATAAGTTACCCGCCTAAAATATGATACCCGTATGAAATCCAAACAAAATACCAAGTTAAAAAAAATAACCCCTCATAATTGCATTAGAATTAAAATCTAAGCAGCACATATTTATAGGGTTGGCAATAAGTCAGGTGCTTGCCTAAAATGCACCATTTGAACCCATTAATACATAAGGCGCCTGAACTCATACCAAACCTATTTAAAAATTCCACTTGCATTGCCTGAACCCACTCCAAACCTGATTACCATTACCTGTATACTACGTGAATCCATATAAACAGCCATAAAATTCCCTAAAAAAATACTTTTCACAAAAAGTATTTTAAAATTTTTATCTGACTTATATTTTGCTTTCCATTGACATTAAGTTGATCACAGCGGATATTTGAAACAAAGAATTCATATAGCCGACCCCAACTAGTTTATAACAAAGGCTTGGTTGTTGTTGATGTTGTAAATATATAATTTAGCATAAAATAATGAGTTGCCCATACCACACTCTTAGACATTAGGATACCTCAACAACAACCACCATCTTCCATGATTAATGAAGGCTGTAATCAATCCTAGTGAATTTCTGTCCATTCATAATTCATAAAAGAAGAGAGTAAATGAAAAATGCAAGTCTACCACAAACCCTATTTATATTTTTGATTTTCTTGTAAAGTAATAAAAACCATCCCAATTTATAAAAAGACAAACATCCAGCAGTTATCAGTGTTGTACATATAACTTGGGGGCTTATTTCTTATATTCATATCCTCAAACCGCAAAAAAAAGAAAGAGAACCTAACATAATAGCACAAAAACCAACAAGAGATGACAATTTCTTTCCCCGTCTGTACTATCAAAGAAAAGATTAACTTTTCCAGTCATCTGATTTACTTTTCTTCATATTCTCTAACTGATATTATCTAATTATGCACCATCGTTTCAACTCATGGTGTTTTCTAATCAAATCAAAAGGCCCACAGAAATAATCAAAACCATTAATTTTGATTTGCTAAATGTTTTTAAATAATTGATTTTAACAACTTAAAACTACTACTTTTGTCCAATTCAATCCACAAATTTTATTTTGATGCCAATCCAAGATAAACCAAAATTTAAAATGCCAAGATTCAACTATTTGCTAAAATATCATCAATTACATAACTATTTAACAATATCAGAACTGCATCCAACAATGTAAGAAAAGGAAAGTTAATGATTCCGTATACAGAAGCAAAAAAACATAAAATCATACGAGAAAACAGGTGAGGCATGAAAACAGTTGCATGGACTCAAGTAAATAAATATTTTGAAATCTGATGTTAAGAACATTCTGTTTGTTTCACCGGAATTATGATATACTATGCACTGCAGATAGTCACTGCAAATTCATAGGCACACTAGTATGTTAATTTACATCTAAACAGAACAATAGCAAAACCTAAGACATTCCCCAAATTCCCTACCACAATTTCACTTGTTCTATCATGTCAACAAATATTTACACCTACAAAATCAAACCACATACTCGTTTACAGTAAAAACAATCAAACAAATTACCTTGCGACTCTGACTGCGACTTGCCAAAGATGACGGCTAGTGGAGAGTCAATCCTTGGAAGGGAGGCAAGAGGAGAAGCGACGATGAGCGATGAAGGCAAGCACAAGAAAATTGAGATTTGGAAAACGGAAACAGCTTCGTGCCTTTGTTTCAAAAGGCTACGTCGTTTTGATATAGGCTTTTTGACGTAGGTCAACCCACATCAAAACGACGTTAGTTATTAGTTTCATTAACTACAGATGGCAAACAACCCGATTACTGTAAAATATTTGAATAAAACTCAATTTGCACCTTTAACTTGGGAGCAATATTTCAATTTATCCAAAATTCAACTTTTTCATAATTTACCCCTTAAATTTACACCAAAAGAATTAAAATGCAATTTTTATAAAATTAATTTTTAATATTTTTAAATAAAAAAAATATTTAAAAGTTTAAAATTAAAAAAGAAAAATTATTTAAAAATATAAGAATAATTATACAAAATATGACATTGTCTTATCTTTGATTTAAGATATAATTAAATAAAATATTTGATTTAAAAATTTTATAGAATTAAAAAATATATTTAATTAAATGAATATTTGGTTTAAAATTTTTATTATTATTTTTTAAATTATTTTTTATTGTATTTGATTTAAATCAAATATTTCATTATTTTACAATTATACTTTGATTTAAACTGAAATTCTTAAATGGGTCTTTAATTTGTTCTTTTGGTACAAATTCAGGAAGTATATTGTACAAAAAATTTATTTTTGGACAAATTGAATATTGATTCTAAATTTTGGGATGAATTGATCTTTATTCCTAAAATATTTATCCATAAACTTGAAATAATATATAATTGAATTTACTAGAAATTTAACTTTTTGAATTAATTTACCTTTTAAATTTTCGTCAAAAGAACAAAAAGCTCACTTTTAAAGAAAAGTAAATTGTTAATTAATAAAAATTATTTAAAAAGTTTAAGATTAAAAAAGAAAAAAGAAATTATTTTAGAAAATACAATAATTATAAAAAACTTACAATGTAGTTAAATAAAATATATCGGTTATGAAATTATAAAATTAAAGATATTTAATTATATTGAATATTTTGTTTGAAAAATATTTATTACTTTTTGTTGAATTATTTTTAATTATGTTTGATTTAAATTAAATATTTCTTTTTAAATTATATTCGATTTAAATTAACATTTTTATTTTAATAAAAATTGTGCTTTTTAAAAAAATGGGTTTTGTTTTCTTGTGCAAGTTGGGAATTAAATTTTACAAAAATTCTTTTTTTTTTTTTTATCAAAGTGTTCATTACTTCTAAATTCAAGAGGCAAATTGAGTCTTATTCCTTTATATTTTTATTACGACAAATATCCTTAATTCATTTGGTAGGAGACTATTTTCATTTTAGAGTTCATGGTTGTTCTTTCCCGTAATGTTTTTTATTCAAATCAATTTTCTACTTGAATCAAACCCTTGATTTTGCATAGATCATCCATTAAGTTTAAGCATGTTTTATCACCTAAGTAAAAAATTTGAATTATTAATTTTAAAAGGTATTAATAATGCTTTTTAGAATCGGTAGTTGAACTGATGAGAAGAAAGACACTAAATTGGATTTTTTAACTGAGTTAAACTGAACATTTATATATAATAATTGAAATATTTTTTAAAATAATATTGAAAACACAGGATTATAAATACTCTATTTGATTCATTTAGATCGAAACAGTTAAATTTCCATAAGATTAACGGAAGTTTTTTTTGTTGAACTGAAATTTTTCCATTTTTTTCTCATCCGCCTCAACATTGCATTAACTAATTCTTCTTGAAAGTCAAACGTCTTTCTCTCTTCATCTAGTAAACTCATTCACCTTCAAAATTAATGGATAGAACGCAAAAAAATAGGCACATCAGCAATGATTTAAATTTTCCTCTTACTTTTTTATTTTGGTGGGAAATTTAAAGTGAAATGTTAATTTTTTGAAATGTGCGCATTTAGTAATAAAAATATGGATAAATTTGATTTAGCATGGATATTAGATTGTTCTAAATATATGAACTTCTCCTAAGAAATTGCGTATATAATATAATTCCTAGATTTATATGGATAAATAAGATATGTGCGCCAATTTTATCTCAAATCCGATTATATCACAATGTATAATAACCCAATAAAAACTCTATCTCACTTCTTTTTCCTCCATTACACTACCATTATTCTTAATACTAGCAATAATAATTATATTGAAGAATAAGTGTTGCAGAGCCCATTCAAGCAATAAATAAGAAGCGAGAGGAGAAGAAATTAAAAAAAAAAAAAAAAAAAAAAAACGCATTTAGTTAATAAAAAATATGGAATAAATCTTGATTTAGCATGTGATATATAGGATTGTTTGTAAAATATATGAACTTCTCTCCTAAGAAATTGCCGCCTATTATATAATATAAATTCCTAGATTATATGGATAAATAAGATACTGTGCGCCATTTTTATTCTCAAATTCCGATTATTATTCCACAATGTATAAATAAATCCCATAAAACTCATCTCCTTCTTTTTCCAAATCCATTACACTACCATTATTCTGAATACTAGCAATAAATAATTTATATTTTGAAGAATAAGTGTTGCAGAGCCCATTCAAGCAATAAATAGAAGCGAGAGGAGAAGAAATTAAAAAAATAAAATAAAAAAAAAAAAAAAAGCAATAAGAACAGTGGTATGATAAATGCGTCTAAAGTGGAATAATGCAGGATGAGAAAGGATGAATGCTCTCATAGTTGTGGAGTGGAGAATAGAGTTCGACGATGACATGCCTCAACTTCTCTCTTTCAATTTTCGTTATCTAGCGATTTCAATTTTTCATCCTTGCTCCTCTAGTTTGTTTCTAAAAAAAAAAAAAAAAAAAAAAAAAGCAAAAGAACAGTGGATGAAAATGCGTCTAAAGGATAAGGCAGGATGAGAAAGGAGTGAATCTCCATATTGGGGAGTGGAAATAGAGTTCGACGATGACATGCCTCAACTTCTCTCTTTCAATCTCTTATCTAGCGATTTCAATTTCATCCTTGCTCCTCTAGTTTGTTTCTATTGGAGTTCTTTTTTAATTGGTCTTCCTATATTAATTATGTTAATTATTTCTCTTTCCACAGTATTATGGCTAATAAATACCAATTAGCCATTTAGAGTATGAACTTTTTTTTTTTTGTTTTTTTTTTAATATATTCTTTTGAGTCTCTCATGATGACTATTCAGGGATCAAGGGTCGAGTTCTAGGTTCTAGATTTTGGATTTTGTGTTTGGTGTTTTGGGGTTTAAGATTTGGAGTTCAAGTTGAGGGTTTAGGGTTCGAGGTTCAGGATTTAGGGTTTGGGATTCAGAGTTCAGGATTGGGAGTTGAGGGTTCGAGGTTGAGGGTTCAAGTTTGATTTCGAGTTCGAGATTCAAGGTTGAGGTGATGATTCGGGATCCAAGGCTCAAGGTATGGGGTCCAGGGTCCAAGGTCCAAGATTTAAGATTTAGGATTTAGGGTCTTCTACACGATAGTATAGGATCTTGTAGCCAAGAGGACATGCTTAACTCCTTACTCGATCCCTCCTTTAGAACTACATATGAAATCCACGTCAATCAGGAAGTATTCAATAGTTTTGACCCAACATCTCTTTGTATATTACTTGGCCAAACATTTTGAGATGACAAAATTTATTCTATTGACCTGTAGGATGCAACGATATTGAGCTCAGTCTATTCTTTGCCAGAGCTTCTGGATGCAAAAATCCAAAGGTAGACTCTTTAGCCTGAGAAACCCTGTAACCTAGCCTACTTCGACGCCAATAACTTCTGTATGTCTGATGGGCAAATTGGGTAGCGTTTTCTACACAGTACTATAGGATCCTATGGCTAGCAGGAATGCTTATCTCACCGACTAGACGTCTAATTTATATACGCAATATAAATTCATTTCCTTAAAATCAATGCACTCCCAAAGAATTCAGTAGTTTTGACTAAATCTCTCTTACTGTTGCTTCGCACAATATTTTAAGACAATAATATTTCAGTTACTGACATATAGAATGCAACAATATCGAGTTCGGGCTATTCCATGTTGCGTTTCTGGGTGCAATAATCTAAAGTAATACTTCTTCGATTTAAGAAACCTCGTAATTAGGCATGATCTGAAGTCGATATCTTATGTAAGTTTAACGGTTAGACGAATAGGATCTTCTGCACTGTAGTATGGGATCTTATGATCATCAAGACATGTTTATCTCGTTTGCTCGATGCCTCATTTAGAATTGCATGCACAATATAAATTTATCCTTGAATCTGTGTCATTCTGGAAGAATTCGGCAATTTTGACCCAATATCTCCCTATCTGTTGCTTGATATGATATTTTTTGATACTATAATATTTGGTCTGTTGACCTATAGAACACACCAATATCGAGCTTGTTTCATTCCATGTTGGGACTTTCAAGCGAATAAACCAAAAGTTATAATCATTTGGTCCAAGAAGCCCTGTAATTGGCTTGCACCAAAGCTGATATCTTGTTCATGTCTATTGGGCAGCTCATATATGATCTTCTGCGCGGTAGTATGGGATTTTGTGGCTAGCATGAGATACTTATCTCGACTGCTAGATGTCTCATTTAGAATTGCATATGTAATATAAATTCATCACCAATATTTTTGCCACTCAGGCAGAATTTGTTAGTTTTAAAGGCAGAATTTGTCAGTTTTAACTTCTCTTTATGTGTTGCTTAGCTCGACACTTTGAGACTACAATATTTGATCACTTAACTTGTTGGATGCCATGATATGGAGCTCTATCCATTCCATGCTCGAGCTCTCGAGAGCAAAAAACCTTCAAGAGTATACCATTTATGTCTAATAAGTCCTGAAGCAAGCCTGGTCTGAAGCTTACATCTTCCATATATGTGATGGACATCTCGGATAGGTCTTATGCACAATAATATGTGATGTTATTGCTAGCAAGAGAAGCGTATCTCAGCTGCTAGATGTCTCACTTAGAATTACATATGCAATATAAATTCATCAATGAAATTCGTGTCACTCTAGAAGAATTTAGTTGTTTAGACCCAATATATCTAAGTTTATTGCTTGGTAGACATCTTAAGACTATGATGGTCTATTGACCTTTCGACATAATAATATCGAGCTCGGCCATTCCATGTAGAGCTTTCAAGCGTAAGAACTCAAATATCTTTTTGGTCCAAGAAGCCTTATAACCAAGCTTACTCTTGAACGATATTTTCTATACATCTAATAGGCAAATCAGATAGGGTCTTCTGCTGCATTAGTACGGGATCTTGCAGCTAGCAGGAGATACTTATATCACCTACTAATTGTCTCATTTATAATTGCATCGCAATACATAACCATCCCCAAAATTTGTGCCACTCTAGAAGAATTTCGCAAGCTTGACCTAGTATCCCTCTGTCTATTTCTTGGCACAATATTTTAAGACTAAAATATTTGGTCTCTTGACAAGTAGGACGCAATGTCATCAAGCTTGAGCTATTCCATGTTGGGGCTTCCAAGCACAAAAACCAAAGGTATACCTCTTTGGTCTAAGAAGCTCTGTAATTAGACTTGCTTTAGAGCTGATATCTTCTATACATTCAGTGGGCAACTGGAATAAGGTCTTCTGCAGGGTGGTCTGGGATCTTAAAGCCAGTAGGACATGCTTATCTCGCATGTTCAATGCCTCATTTGGAATTGCATACGGGATATAAATTTATTCTCGAAGTTTGTGCCACTCTAAAATAATTCGGTGATTTGACCTAATATCAATCTATTTATTTCTTGGCTTGACATTTTGAGACTATAATATTTATTTATAAGACGTAATGATATCGAGCTTAGGTGATTGTATGTATAAGCTTTTGGGCACAAAAACCTAGAGATATACACATTTAGTCCATGGAATCTTATAATCAGGCTTGCACCATAGTTGATATCTCATGTACTTTTGATGGACAACTCGGATTGGGTTTTCTAGTATAGGATCTTGTGGCTAGTAGGAGATGATTATCTCGCCTAATAAGAGTTTAGAGTTTCGTATTTTGAGTTTCAAATATGAATTCAAGATTTAGGGTTCTGAGTTCAACATTTAAAGTTCAGGTTTGGGGCTTAAGGCTCCGCACTCAGGGTTCAGGACTTAGGGCTTTCGGATATATAGTTTGTAGTTTAGGATTTAGAATTGAATTGGATTGTCAATAATAAGGAACAAAAAAGTAAATACAAATCAAGGCAATATGACATTGGGATAAATAAAAAAAAAGGCCAACAATGAATGATTTAAAAATTAGATTAAATGTCGAATTAACTTGATGAAAGGATGCGATTTGATTGGATCAACTCCATTCAATTGTTTTCTTTGTTATTTTTAAAGACTAATCATAAATAATTTTGCATCAAGTAAAATTATAATTATAAAAGTAGAATCATTTTTCATATCATACATTATCAAATTTCAATAATAATAATAAATATTTTAGGTCAATGCATTATTTTTTATATAACATCATACAATAATTAGGTGAATTTTATATTTTTGGTTGATTATTTTTGTTATATACATTTTTTTATATTTTTACATGAATATGTTATATAGATTAATTAAATATATGTATATTTTGTTTTAGCATTAAAGGATACGTAATCAAACTTAATTGGATATAACAATTTAGTAATGAATTAAATCCTTTTTTTTTTTTTTTTTTTATATAGATTAAGTTAAATATATGTATAATTTTTGTATTTAGCAATTAAAGGATACGTAATCAAACTTAATTGGAATTATAACAATTTAGTAATGAATTAAATCCTTTTTTTTTTTTTTTTTTGGTTTAGAATAATGTTCGTAATTCTTCTAAAAATAGCATTAAAAATTCCATACAACCATTTAAATATTATTTTCAAAAAATTCAATATTGAAATTCATAACAATATAATAATTAAAAACGCCTTCTTCAAATTAATAAGTATTGATTAACATATATATAGAAATCAGTAAACTGAGTACAAAGACTGTGTTTTTTTTTTTTTTTTTTTGGGTAGAATAATGTTCGTAATTCTTCTAAAATAGCATAAAAATTCCATACAACATAAAATATTATTTTCAAAAATTCAATATTGAAATTCAAACAACTATAATTAATAAAAACCCTTCTTCAAAATTTAAAGTATTGATAACATATATACATAGAAATCAGTAAAAGAACAAAGACGTATAAATATAGGCTGAAAGAAAAATATACAGCATAAACAAATAATACAGAGAGAGAGAGAGAGAGAGAGAGAGAAGGAGAGAGAGGAATTTTAAGCAACACTATAATTCGGATGAGAAGACACATATACACACACAGCAAGGAATTTTGAGCAACAATAACCTCACTATAATTCGCATTAGAAGACAAGCAAACTGAGTAGCTCATGCTCTAAATAGTGACTTGTTTTTATACTTTGTTTTCGAATTCTGGACGAGGTTCATTCCAAAATAGAAGCTCTTATTTCTGCTCATCTTCATCATGAATAAAATTTTTCTGCTTCTATTCAGGAAAAGAAAAGTAGAATATTATTAAATAAAGAATATATAGATTAACAATTCCCTTTTACAATGTCAATTATCAAATTATGAACTTACTTTAGATTTATATATATATATTCAAATTATATATATTTAATTATAAAATTAAACTCCCCCACGATAAAGATTGAGACATTCAATTAAACTCACTCCCGATAAAGATCGAGAAATTCTTATATGGATTTAATCGACTGTGTACTGGCCAACATTGATCTGCCGCCGCATTCTCGCTCTCTAACGTATCTAAGATATCTAAGCCAACACCAGCTCTTAATATTCAAATTTATTTTCTACCAACTTGAACTAACCGAACTTCTATTGTATTCTGATTAAATATATGTTCCATCTTCTGGAAAAGCCTCGCTTCAATTCGCAATCCAAAGTCATGGATTAAAGAGTAAAGATTCTCAGGCAACAAAATTTGCTAGCTGCTTCTGCTCACAAACACTAAACTGTAGAGTTAACCATTACAATGACACGAGCACAAAGCCTATTAAAAAGATTTCATTATACAATACACTTCAAAGCCATGACTTGCAAACAAGTGCAAAGACCGATGTTTGAACCAGGCATATGCTGGTATGCTGTCCCTCAGATTCCAGGAAGGCAACATAATTAACCAATTGAGATGTTCTACTAATCGCAATATATTGGAGTGAGGACAGCCTAAAGACCAACCCAATATGAACGTCCATTGCTATTGTGAATTGCTGATGAGACAGGAGATGTCACACACCACTCGTACCAAACCTGCATTGCAGTCAAATCTCTTAATCTACTACTCTTAAGCATGTATGCACATGAAGGAGAAAGTCTGCAGCCAAGACTGCTATTGCATGTCTTCCCTTCTTTTCTAATTATAAACTTTTAAAGCATTTACCATCTTCTCTGTCCATTACCTTTGAAGGGCCACAACATCGCCAAAAATTTACTTCTAAAGGAGAACCAGGATGTATGCACACCGGTGTCCTTAGTGGAAAAAATATAGCAAACCTAATAGCAGAAAAGGAAATAAACACACATGAAAGTCAAGTTTAGGAAAGAGCCATTGCATACATATTTACAATATTACCATGGACGAATAATTCACTGACAATATTCAATTTCGAAGCCAAGCATAGGGAAAATTAATGAAACAAGAAGGAAATAAACACCAGAAAAGTCAAGTTTAGGAAAGAGCCATTGCATACATATTTACAATATTACTATGGACGAATAATTCACTGACAATATTCAATTTCGAAGCCAAGCATAGGGAAAATTAATGAAACAAGCACATTTTAAAATGATTAAGGGGCTTATTCCAAAATTAAAGATCTAACAAAGTTGAAATACATCATTCAAGTGATCCAGTGTCATACCAGCTGAACATATTTGGGGTTGCCGTTGAAGGCTCAATGCCAAGATGTATGTCTTTGTAGAGCTCAGCATCAAAATACCCAGCAAATCCTACACCAAAAAGGAAAACAGACCGAAACAACCTCCCTTACTGGAAATCAGAACCAGATAATTCAGAGTAAGGACAAACACCGTAAAAAGAAGCATTTTATTATGACAAGGCAATAAAGTAATTCCAATAATTGAAACCAAGGACATCAAAAACAAAAAAGCACTGCAGTCCATAATTTTTCAGGAAAACCAGAGCTTTGTTGAGTGATGAAAGACAAACCAGGAAAAATGAAGGATAGAGATAGAAGAGAGAAATCATTTGAAAATTCCATTTGTTTTGATGGAATTTTGGTTTAATTACATTCCATTCCATAGAACTGAAATCATGGAATTAAAATGAACATCTATTTTCTGAAGATGAAATAACAGAATTTAAAATGAAGAACTTTGGTTTACTTGTGCAATTCATTTGCTCTAGACAAGCTATAACTCCAAGGGCTAGGGAAGGATTTGGGACTTTGGGGTTTATAAGGTGCAAAAATAGATTGTGATTTGGAGTTGAAATTCATTCACAAGAACACTGGAACCTTATTAAGATTAAGAATCCCAAACCTGGAACCTTCTAAACCAACAATATACAAGATAGGAAGAAAACAATTTTATAAATGTTCCAAGTAACAATAAAAATCCCTGAATAGTCCAAAAACCTAAAATCTCCTGAGAAAAACTTGAAATTACATAATTAAAAATTAAATAAGTGTTCCCTAAATATAATTTTCATTTACTGCAACAATTATCTAAAAAGACAAGTTATCTGTAAGATTATCTTATAACATACCATGCACCATGGCTGACCCAGTGTCATTTGTTATATCAAACTGCAGCTTTTTGTACCGCTGATTGCTTTTCTTAGTTGTGTAATTTGGATGAGTAAATGTAAAGACCTATGCAGGAAAAGATTGTATGAGAACGCACGCAAAACCAGAGTTTTTCTAAGCTGAAGAAAGATGCACAGCAGGTACATATATGAGATGGTTGATTGAAAACAATGGTCTATGGATTTGTCAACAACCAACTTGAAAATCAAGCATTGGTTAGATCTAAGGCCTAGCATGCTGTGCACGAGGTTAAAAATGACAAGATCCATCCACCAGGGTTAGCGTACTAGATGACTTACAGGTTGACAAGGGGCAAGCAATGCCACATTATGTAGTTTGACAACATATGCAGTCTCAAAGTGCACAAGATCTTTGTGTGCCTTAACCTGCAGCACAATCAGAAGCCATTGAAGTGCTTGAAGGGGATAACAGAACGCAACAACACGAATACACAGGACAGGGACACACATCATTGTACAACTTTGATGCTGTTACCGGTTGGATAAAACTTGTATACCTGCAAAAGAAATATCGATAAAACAAGCAATATTCTATTTAACCTCAAATTTAAATTTCCAAGAAAGACCCTAGAAGAAAGATCATTCAAGTCTAATAAAAACAAAGAGCTGTACCATTCTCTATCATAGATTTTAAATAGCCAGAAGATGGAAGAAATTCATTTACTTTTGAAGGATAACTTCAAAAAATATTCTACTACAGTCATGCGAGCATCTGGTGATGCATGCAGGTAAACAAATGATATAAAAAAAAAATAAAATAAAATAAAATAAAAAAAAAACCGCGTATCTGCATATGTGGACATATTCTCGAGAAGATTCAACACATATTTTACCATAATTACCCATAACAAGATAGAAGAATGAGATCAAAATTAGTCCCACAATAGAGAAGAATATACATACGACGATGGTATAGAGATACCGTCCTGCTTCAAAATCCTTTGGGCACCATCAAGGCACTCAGGTGACAACTCATTGTCACCAAATGAACCAAGCAATTCACTAACCTAAAGACCAAAATTAAGTGCAAATAAATGAGAATATAGTTGCCAGCATTCAGAAATACATTAACTAATTAAAACATAAAAACATTTAGATACCAAGATATCAGCTTTCTCAGGAGCATCCCAGTGCCGCATGTCACAAGAAATTATAGTGACAATGTCTTCCCACCCTTCCAGCTTAACCAAACTCTGTTGCAACAAAAGATCATTGTACTCAGATCCATGGAAGTTTAACAATGAAAGGAACTTGAAGCAAAAAGTGCAATTAAAATTTACACACCTAATAAGGACTAGACCAATAAGTCAGTTTTATTGTTCATCTCTCACAAGAAAAGTTCATTTGTTGACAAAATTTTAGAACTTTAATCACAGATGCTTAAATGTGTTTCAAATATGATTTTACACCACATTTCTATAGAAAGATTCCTAAAGTCAAAGCAAACATTTTATTCTGTTACGCTCAAATCTAAAATGCAATACTCACATGAAGTGTAACAACAGCATTTGGATTTTTCTCCACTGCATACACTTTTAACTTGCGTCCAGTTTCTTCAGCTGCCTATATACTATAATGAGGAACAAAACATGGAACATAAGAGTCACCAAATTTCAAACTACAGAAGGCATAGGATGAACCTGCAATGATGCCCTAACAAGAGGTCCACGTCCTGCTCCGACAACCATCAGTACCTTGCCACATTTAAGTACAAAATCACCATGAACTTCACATTTTGAGAACATTAGAGTTTATACACCTTAGACAAGGTGCAAGAATAGAAACAGGATATATATAAACTAACAGGAGGCATTAGGTGAACCTGCAATGATGGCCCTTAACAAGAGGTCCCACGTCCTGGCTCGACAACCTATCCAGTACCCTTGCCCACATTTAAGTCACAAAATACCCATGGAACTTCACCATTGAGAACGATTAGAGTTTATACACCTTAGGACAAGGTGCAAGAATAGAAACAGGATATATATATATATATATATATATATATATTTATACAAGGAGGATTTGACAACAAAAAATCTGAATAAGGAAGCTGGTAGCTTACAGTGGTCACGGTTGACTTCATCAGGACCCTGTCCAGCACAAGCTTTACTAATTGCTCCTTTAGGTACTAGAAAAATTACATGCGGGCATTTAATCTTACAGGCCACAAAAAAACTGCCATTCACTGCAGCCCAAAAAAATGTACCTACTATAACGAAAAAGGAAAAATACAATATATATACCGTGATTAAAAATAATATACTATATATATATTATATATATAATATATATTAGTGTGAGAGCACCACTGAGAGAGAGAGAACAACAGGCAGCCAGCAGCAATGAAGAAAAGAGAAGAAAACAGGAAAAGAGAAGAAACAGACAGACAATGACAGAATTAAATTATATATATATGTGAGAGAGAGAGAGAGAGAGAACAACAGCAGCAGCAGCAATGAAAGAAAAGAGAGAAACAGGAAAAGAGAAGAAACAGACAGAAAATACAGAATTACAATTATTGATTAATTTTGTGGATCAATATCATGTTAGACATTTTCCTTGGCCAATTATAAACGAGAGTATTTTCCTATAGAGATCACAACCGATGTCATACGCATAATATCATTAGTTCGGAATGGCAGGGATGCACAACCATGCATGACCAAACAATATGAGCATAACGGCTTGAAGTAACCGAACCAAAGAAACTTGAGTTCGTACATTTTCAGGGTCCGTTCAAAACCCAAAAAGATGAGCTTAAACTTCGGTCATCTCAAAGAAACTTCGAAGAGTTCAGTTCCTTTTTTGCTTCACTTGAGCAAAACCTCAATAAGCATATCCATATTCAACAACATAAACTAAATTTGTACACATCACCAAACGACATGAATATTTATGTAAGCCAAAAATCAGGGAAGAGGGACGATTAAATATAAGGCTGAGACTTCCATCTCATCTTTTTTTTCTTATGGAGCCATTAAACTGTTTATTATAGTTTAGTACTTTTATCATATTATTGATAATTAACTTTGATGTACTTCTATTAACAAAAGTGAACAACAAAAAGAAGTAATTGAAATATAAACCATCTAAAAGAAGATGCAAATTGATAAACATAATTGAATCAATCTCACGCGATTTTTGGTCCGGCAAGTAAGAAATTCATCTTTGAACTAGTTCATTTAACTTGACAAATGAAAATAGCTTTTGCCAAGCTCGTCCAGAATTATTTATCGAGCATGCATTTCACTTTATCCACAAATGCATTAATGATAGAAAGGTACAGAGGGAAGGAATTATTAAGCATTCAATATTCTGTTCCAGAATAATTTGATCTAGAGATAGTCACACCTGGATGTATTTGACTGAGTCTTTCTCAAATGTCTCGTATGTTTGTGCCTCTAGATTATCCATGAGGGGCTAAAAGAGAAAATCACAAACTCCCAATGAGTAGTTAATCAATGAAAATGTGAGAGATTATCATAAATTATAAAATATTGAAAAATTCCATTTTCAAAAAGGTCATATGTTGACAGAAAATCTTCGTCAATAAACGAAATTAGACAAGTATGAGCCACAAAAAACTTACTTGCAAGGGCGACTGTAGAAAATCCCTATAACCAAGCTGACATAAGAGACCAAAGGATTCAAAAGGGTTAATATGAAAAAGAATTTTAAACAAAATAAAAATGACATATTTTAGGTGTGCATTTGAGAGGGAAGCACCTCAAAACGTTCTTGCTCAGGGAGCGGATCCATCCTTTGAAAGAGGTAACCAACATAGTCCAAATATGATCTCAGGGGATGCCTCTGCACACCTACAAACAAAAGGATGTACTAACCCATTAATATAAGAAATATAGGTGATTGTGCATGCAGTGCAGAACAGAAAACTCGATCACAATTGAACTGAAGCATACACCTTTGGGAATTGACACAGAACTAAAAGAAACTTACTCTCAACATTACAATCAAGATGATTCGCAGATAAATCTAAGCTTTCCATTGGAACGCTGTGTACAGGTTTTCCAGAGAGAACAATCTGGAAAGATTTTTGGAAGCACCAAGATTAGTCAATGGCATCTCAGCAATTAACAATTAGATCTGAAAGCATTAGTACTGACAAAATGTGATAAGAAATAGAACATAATAATCAAAGTACTGGAAATAATATCTCAGGCTGGAAAATTTGCTCAAGAAGTGTAAGATTCCAATATGTAACAGTACTTTTTTCCTTAGGATAACTATTCTAAGTCAATTGTTAGCATCACCTCAGTAATGCCATTCTTAGACTCAATAAAGAGAAGAGCAATGTCAAAGCGGCAAATCACATGATCCACCTCCAAGACTCACAACTATGCACAAGGAACACCAAAAAGTAATGATTTGCATACCTGTATGGAATGGTTAAAGAACCCAGTAATAAGCTTCTGGTGCCGCTTGGAGAGGCATGGATAACCCCGTGCATTTGTTAGGAAAGACTGGTAAATCAATAATGTTTTCATTGTAAACAAAGTAACCACAGAAGCAAAATGCAACTGATTTATTTCATAAACGAAATACACTGCACTGAAACCCAGTATATACTTACATCAGTATGTATTATGGCTGCTCTAACAGATTCTCCAAACCAACGGCCTAGTGAGTTTGCTGATGGCAGGGAACTCCTAGAGAACAAGCATGTATTATAAGAATTTATGCATAACAGATAAAAGCTAATGAAGGAACAAAACATTAGGGACCAGAGTTTAGCTCACAAAACATCTAGTGCAATCGCTAATTGACTGTGATGTTCACATAGAAGACGAAATGAATTCCATAGTTCCCAAGAATCAATCTGCATTTCAAAAAACTAAAAAAGATGAATTCCATGCTTCTTATCAATAAAACTCCGAACTAACTGTTTAATATTCAGTAAACACTAACTCAACAAAGTCAATTCAGCAGCACTTCAAAGATTATAAGGCCCAAACAGAGTTTTCCACGACAAGATGTTCCGTGCAAAAGGAGATCTTTTATCAGATACAATATATGGCTTATGTCATGTCTATTTCACAAACATAGGAATTGAGAGAATCGAGAAGCCAGTAAGAAACACACTTGTTTCCTACTATTTTGGTTTACAATACATACATATCCACCTATGAACAGATTTGAGAAAAATTGGGGATTCTCACCAAATTAATTGAGTTTATGTCCGTAGAATCCTCTTCAGTCTTCATCAGTGGAATTCTAAGCCACAACTTCAATAAGGAAGTAATTTAGAATAGAGACAATAATGAAACATTTTGATATTCAAAACAAAAATAAAATAAAATAAATGTTGGGATTAAGAAAGGCACCTGCATACTGTTCAAGCCTTGTAAAATCTGATTTACACACCTTGCATAGTTAGCGCAGGATGCACCCTTAGGAGAAGGAAGAAGGCAGGCCTGCAGCAGATAATCATAAGGTTAACACCATAGGCTCTTCAAAGGACTTTCCTGTGAAAACCATCCCTAATATCTATGAACATCAGAAAATATCAAAATATTGCAACCATTAGGAGGGAATTGGGTGAAAAATTAGTGCCACTGGTTTCTAAAAGGTGGGTGCAAGTAAGGGATATTATAGGCTAATGTCTTCGTACGGCACATCCAAGGTCATGGATATTTGTAAAGACATACTTTATAGACCACAAGCACTTTTTTTTTCTTTTTAAAGAATAAAGAAAGGAATTTCCATTCAATATTTTCTACGAAGAAAATCCTGTGTTCATGAACCCAATGACCTTATTAAAACACATTCACTTCACCACTTCTAGAATACTTGCAAAAGCAATCAAAGGGTGTAAAATCATTCCAATGATTAAACCTGTAACGAAAGATGATTAGCCCAGGCTATTTCTTGCTTCAGAGTAATTTCAGAATCCATCCGTAGAGTTTCATCTTCTGAATCCAAGTCAATCCATGAACTAATTTTTCCTGTGAAAAAAGAAAAATCAAAACGCAACAAGAGAGAATTTTACAAGGGAATCCAATGCCCACAAGATTGCCCATAAGTAAGAAATCTAACATAATTAAATAACACAATAATTAAACAACCAACGGAGTCAAAACAGTAAAGCCTCAAGTGTTAAGAATCAATAATTGATAGTTTAATTTATGCAATTTTTCCAACCATTGAACCATACGCGCCATAATTGAATGAAAAAGCAGGAAATTTCAATAAAGAGTTTCAAAGACCGGTATTAAAGTGATAATGATATCCTACAGCAATTGACATACAATTTACATGACTAGTGCTTGCAATCCATCAGCTCCACTTAGGCATCTCATTTCAAGGGGGAAAAAAAAACAACCAAGCTGAACGGTTAAATTGCTTAAAGATCTAGGTTACAATTGATTTTCAGGCCAACGAACTAAACCTTGAAGTAACTTTTCTTCCGTTGCAGCAATAGCTGACAGACAAAACTTTGCCTTGTCAAAAAACGTTGAAACCCAAAATATATTACACTTTCCTATGACTAAATTCTGAGAATATTGTTCTGCAGTCAAAACTGCAGAGAGGCCTTTTTTTCTTTCTTTTTCTTTTTCTTTTTTTATTTTTGTCCGGGGGGGGTGGGGAGGGTGTGAGGATTTGATCTAGTTTTTTTTTTTTTTTTTCTTTCTTTTTCTTTTTCTTTTATTATTTTTGTCCGGAGGGGCGGGTGGGGAGGGTGTGAAGAGGGATAGTTGATCTAGTTTTTTTTTTTTTTTTTTGGAATTAGGATTGTATCTAGTTGAAAATTCAGCCAAAGCTTGACACTAATACTTCCAATAAGAAGACACTTTTCGAATATTATATAGTAATACTATTATATATATGATGAATTTTCAAGAAATAAAAGATCAGCAGCAAGAAAACAATATCATAAACCTGTTTGCCTGCATTTTAATAAAGCATCAGAACATGATGAATTAAAATATATCCTAGAATTAACTCAGCCAATCTTCTGGCAACCACTCAAAAGATCAATTATAGAAATAGGAAAAAAGACATTTATTGAAAACTCCAAATAGTCATAGTATGGATAAACCATATGATGAATTTCAAGAAAATAAAGATCAGCAGCAAGAAAACAATATCATAACATGTTGCCTGCTTTAATAAAGCATCAGAACTGATGCAATTAAATATATCCTAGAATTAAACTCAGCAATTTTCTGCAACCACTCAAAAATCATTATAGAAAAGGAAAAAAGATATATGAAACTCAAAAGTCATAGTATGGATAAACCTAAAACATAAAATTAAACAGAACAGTACATCAAGCAATGTGTCTAGCAATTAGGAACCTAGAACTGTCAGAGCATTTAATTTCCTCAATTGATTCAAATAAAAAGTAGAAAGTTATGCACTGATTCTAACCACTAGTGCAAAACGAACAAATTTGTCAAATTAACACTCAATGGAAGAATAGCTCAAACTATAATCAAGACAGATAGATTAAAAAAGAAAAAGAACAAAGAAGTCTATTTGCATGCTTTAAGTTACAGATGTGAACTCAAAGATTTCATACCCACAACATGACTACTCCACTGTGATGGGCTCAAAACTAAATCTGACCCCGCGACAGGCAGAACACACGATCCACCACAAGTTTTTCCTTTTTCCATCAAGCTCGGCCTATAGGTGGGATTCATCTGTGTCATAAAGTTATACATTTTTCAGAAGCAGAATCTTATGCTCTTTACTAATGAAGCCTCACTGGAAGTTATAGGAAACAATAGAGTTTGATAATATCGCAGAAAACTATATAAAGGATGTGAGGCTGAAAAAAAAAAAAAGATAGCATATTGTCACCTAGAAACCAGGAAATAGGGATGTTATGACGCGGGGAAATTCATAAACAATAGGCATAATTATAGTATACAAAAAATGTTGCTGGAAGCCTATCAGCAAAGACATAGAAGCCCACCATAACATTGATGTAGGTTAGCATACTACCATTCACACAAAAGTAGCAATAAGCTAATATGTGACTGGCTAACTAGTCACCATGTTTGAAACATAACAAACAAGGTCATTGAGAATTCTATAACCAACAAGTAGAGAATGGCAAAAACTACCAATGACTAGGTCTTCCATAGAGTGTTCAAAAAAGAAAAAAAAGATGAGAGACTAAAAAGAAAATATTGAAAAATAAACAAACAAAAGCAGCTGATACCCTAAATGGCTAATGGGCCTCTATTAGCCATAGTACCACAGAGAGAAAAATAGTTAAAATAATTAAGATACGCAGACCAACTAAATAAATAACTCCAATAGAAACAAACCAGAGGAGCAAGGACGAAATCGAAACCGCCAGAGGAGAGATTGAAAGAGAGAAGCTGAGGCATGTCATTGTCGAACTCTGTTTCCACTCCGCAGTATCGAGATTCGCTCTTTTCCCATCCTGCCTTATCTCCTAGAGGCATTTTCCTGCACTGCTCTATTGCTTCTTTTACTTCTTCTCCTTACTCTTCTTATTTATTCTAGCAGTGCTCGAATGGGCTCTGCAACAACTTATTGCCTTAAATATAATTATTATTGCTAGCATTAAGACTAATAGTAGTGTAATGGAGGAAAGAGAAGTGAGATAGGCATAACTATTTGCTAAAATATCATCAATTAAATAACTATTAATAACAATATCAGAATTGCATCCAACAATGTAAAAAAAAGTTGACAATTCCATAGACAGAAGCAAAAAACACAAAATGATAAATTAAAAAAGGTGAGGCATGAAAACCTTGCATGGACGCAAGTAAATACCATGCACTGAAAAAAGTCACTGCAACTTCATAGTCACAATAGTATGCTAATTAACATCTAAACAGAAAAATAGCAAAACCCTAAGTCATTCCCCAAATTCCCTACCACCACTTCACTTACTCTATCATATCAACAAATATTTACACGTACAAAATCAAACCACATACTCATTTGCAGTGAAAATAATAAACAAATTACCTTGCGACTGCGAATGCGACTTGTGAAAGATGGTCGCTCGTCGAGTCGCTGTAAGAGTCAGCTTGGATGAGAGGCAAGAGGAAAAGCGACGATGAGCGATGGAGGCAAGCAGAAGAAAATGAGATGTGGAAAAGGCAACAGCTTCGTGCCAAAAGGCTACGTCGTTTTGATGTAGGGTTTTTGATATAGGGTTTTTGATAAGGTTAACCTACATCAAAACGATGTTGTTTATTCGGTATATTAACTACAGATGGCAAATAACCCGATGTTTACTCAAAAATATTTGTCGCTGAAAACAGTATAAAATTTGCCAAAAAAATCAACTTTTTGTATATATTACTTCCTGAATTTCCTGAATTTACATCAGAAGAAAAAATAAATCTATTTTTTAAAGAAAAATAATTTCTAATATTTTTAATTAATAAAATATCTAAAAAGTTTAAACTTAGAAAAGAAGAAAATACAATAACTATACAAAATTACAATGTAATTAAATAAAATATTTCATTTAAAAAATTATAAAATTTAAAAAATATATGATTATACTGAATATTTTGTTGAAAAATATTTATTTGTTTTTATATTATTTTAATTATATTTGATTCAACTCAAATATTTTTTAAATTATTTGATTTAAATTAAAATTTTTATTTTGGTAAAAAGTAAGCGCTTTTTTTTTTTGAAAAATGGAATTTTTATTGTGTAAGTTCATGGCGTAAATTGTACAAAAGTATATTTTCGAGCAAATTGTACATTACTTTTAAATTCAAAGAGCAAATTGAATCTTATTTCTTAATCTTTTTTATTAAGATGAATCTTCTCAATTCATTAAGTACGAGACTAGTCTTATTTTACAGTTGTAGCTAATCCTTTCCATGAGTAATTTTTATTCGAATCAAACCTTTGATTTTACACGAATCATCCACTGAATTAAAGCATGCCTTATCACTTAAACAATTCAGCTGTGAGTTTAAAAGGTATTAATAATGTTTTTTGAATCATACCGGTAATTTTTTATTGAATTCAACTGGATTTTTATATAAATAATTTTAAATATATTTTTGAAACACAATTGGAAACATATGATTATAAATAATTCCCTTGATTCATTTAAATGGACACAGCTGAATTCGCACGTGATTAAGAAACGGAAGTTTTCTTTGTGGAACTGAAATTTTTCCATTTTTCCTTTATTTGCCCAACATTGCATTAGCTACATTATTCTTTAAAATCAAACAATGCTCTCTTCATCTAATAAAGTCATTTACATCCAAAATTAAATGCAGAAAAATGACCACATCAACAATGATTTAAATTCCCCTCTTATTTTTTACTTTTGGTGGGAAATTTAAATTGAAAGGGCAAAGCATTAAAAAAAAAAAAAAAACTCAAAGTTTGCGAATATTTTTTATTGTATCTAAAATCCAACTTTATTTTTCTAGTATCCTGAATTTCAATTTTAGTTACAATAGTACTCTAATTTTAAATTCTACCCAATTTAATGAATAAAATATTATTTTTGTGGAACCTACATAGACAAGTTAATTAAAAACTCACGGTTTACACCCTAACAAATATCATTTAGGATTTTTTTAAAAAAAATTCATAAAAAGCCAAATAAAATAATATTAGTTTAGATTTTTGTTTTGCCATTTTTTAAGCATGGAATTTTAATTATGGTTTATTGAGGTTATACTTTGAGTTAGATTTCTTATAAAAATATGTTTTATTCATTACGGTATAATTTTATTTTAGTGAATCATTACTTGTTGTTAATATTACATAAATAAATAAAAAGTACTTTATTTTAAAATCAATATATTATTTTAATTTTAATATCGGGTACAATTTAAAAATAATATTTTATTCATTAAATTAAATTTAATGAATAAAATGTTTTTTTATTTCAATATTTGGTACAATTTGAAATTATGATACTATTATAATTAAAGTTGAAGTTTAAGGTACTCTGAGAAGAAAATTGGATTTAGAGTACAATTAAAACTACTTGCAAAGATTAAATTTTTTTTAATAATTTAGCCAAATTGAAATGTTAATTTTAAAAATGTGCACATTTAATAATAAAATTACAGAAAAATTTGATTAGTATAGATAGTTATTCTAAGTATGTGCATCTTTGTTATGAAATTGCTTTATAATATAATGTATAGATGTGAATGTGCAAAACATGTGCACCAATTTTATTAAAGAGCAATGGTCTACCATGTTTTTACTGAAGTAGAAAATCTAAGAAATGTGATATAAATCTTAAATTATGGACATATCTCAAATGTTGTCTAAGATAAACATTAGCAAAAAAAAACCATAAGATTATAAAACAACAATGTAACTACCGCTAAAAGAACATAATGTAAATAAGTAAAAAACAATAATACATTTTTAACACAACAAAATATTAGCATTTAGAAGAACTAAAACAACAAACTGTAATTCAATACTCATTTATTTTCTGCGTTTAGGTCATCAATACGAGCACGCATTTATTTTCTGCGTTTAGGTCATCGGTGTATTTGCCACAAATTGATTTGGAGATAAAACTTCATCCACAAACTCGGAGATAAAAGCTTCATCCACGAAATCTTTAAGGAATTAGGATATTTCTAGATCAGCACTTGGTGGCTGTGTTTCATCATGTGAATCTACGTTTTGAGCACTATGTTTCTCAACTTTCGCACATTTTTAGGAGCGTCACTTATATTGGCACTAATGTGTACGCAAGTCTTCAAGTCAATAAAAGCAGCCTGCGTGTCTTCAATACATGAAGTTAACAAATGAATGGTCGAGAGAATCTACATCCTATATTGATCAGCGAGTTAACAAATGAATCAAGTGCAAAGGTACAGACATTGTATACAAACTCGGGCAATTTTGTTGGCATATTTACAAATTACTTCGATGCTTTGGTCATGTGAGGGTTCACTTACTGCTGTGTACGTATTAACTGCTATTTTAGGTAGGAAGTGTGATCAAATACAAATAAAGATAAAAATGCTAATAAAATTTTATTGGAAAAGAACGAGCCCGAAGACCAAATTTACCATTCAATTTTCAACCTTAACTGGGACTTCATGAGCCACATTAGTGTAAACAGATAGATATCTGAGACTCGCAAAATATTCACGTTTACCACATTATATTAAAAATGCGGGAAACTGCATTCAAGATCAAAATCAGTTCAACAGGAAAGAAGGATAACACATATCTCCATAAACTTCTTTCTTCTCCTATTCTCCTTTCAAGCAATCTACAAGCACGTCTTTCAACTCCTTGAGAGAAAGCATTACAAAACCTTGGCTTGTATACTTCCCAACAACCCTCTACTGTAGGCTAAAGAATTCCACCATCCATCAGCAGATCATCATAATGGTGCAAAAAAGGACAAAGAAGATTTCATCAATGTCATACTACAGATGCAACGTATTCTTTAACCATTAAAATCTCACTACATAGCTTCCTGGGTACTTGCTGTAATTTCCTTCCTTCTTGCCATGCTTGCCCAATCGACACCCCAGGTCCAACATGACGAACATATATAACAACCTGATCGTTGAAAGGATATGGATGCTTTGCTGCAAAAATAATCATAACTTTCCAAATTTAGACTATTTACAACCATCATACGGCTGCAAGAGTTACAAAGAACAAAGCATAGAAAGACACAGATTATACTTCTTTTTTTTTTTTTTTTTTTTTTTTTTTTATACTTCCTTTTTTTTTTTTTTTTTTTTTTTTTTTGGGTGGCACTCGAGCCAGGATGACTAATCAATTTCAATCATGGCTATATTGTCCTTTTGTTTTGTTTAACTTCTTTTTTATTTCTTTCCACTTCCCTGTTTACTCCTCTCGTACACAGGCATCTTGAGGTCTAACCACTAAGCTTTTTTTAAAAGGGTGGGGCAAGTGACGATAGCTGAAGAAACATCTCAGGGAAGAAAATTTCAGTTTGAAGCTCACTCCACTATCAGGCTGGTCCCGAACATTAAGATTTTTTTTTTTTTTTTTTTTTTTTTTTTTGGGTGGCACTTCGAGCCAGGATGACTAATCAATCAATCATGGGGCATATTGTCTTTTTGTTTTGTTTAATTTTTTTTATTTTTTACTTCTGTTTTACTCTTGTACACAGGCATCTGATCTAACCACTAAGCTTTTTAAAAAGGGGCAGTGACTATAGCTGGGAACATCTCAGGGAAAAATGTTCAGTTTTAAGCTCACTCCACTATCAGTCTGGTCCCCGAACATTAAGTAGTAAATGAATCTCTGAATAGATCACTGTTATTTTAGTAAACACAAGTCTTGTACTTCCCAGGGACTACAGTTTAAAAGTTTCTAAGGGTAAATGCGATTCTAGTTCATTATGAAATTTTTCCTGAAAAAGAAAATGACAAGCTTTAAAGGTTTCAAACATGAAATGAGAGAGTACTGCCAAGGTCGCAGAAAAGCCATTATACCATCCACTTCTAGAGGTTATACTTAAGGGGTTTCGAGTTCGGTACAACCAGAACCAAAAAAATACATGCACTACAATGTTAGCAGTTCAAGGGAAAGTAAGCAATGCAAAGTTAATATCGAAAGTATAGAGATTCCACAAACCACCCAATTTGTAGGCCTAGATTCTATCACACAAAAACAAGTGCATGATGTTTAGAGACCAGATGAAAGATGCACATTAATGATGAGTTTGACAGAGAAACAATCAAAGATGAGTTTGGCATGCCTAACGAGGACCTACAAATGCATTGCTGCAGAATGTTGAGCATATTCCAGTTGCATAAGTGAAAACAAGGGAGATATTCTTGAAACATTTTCAGAAGAACACAATAACAAAAACATTCATAATAAACTACAATCTCAAGTTCACACGTTGAACAAAATATTGCACACAAATCCCACCTGGTGTGGGAAAACCTCGAGGATAGTTATGGAGATCCAAGTGCCCGTCTCCCAGTTCGTAAGCTAAATCACATGGCTGCTCTGTCGCCATTACTTCTCCATGTTGCGTGACCATAAAGTATAATGGACTAGAGGTATTTGTAAATTGAGCCAGAATTGACCCACCTGCTCAAGCATTATGATTATCATTCAGTTTAGGGGTTGAGACTAACACACTAAAATGTTCGGAATGACTTATAGCAGATTAAATATGAGCTTATGAAGCCCAAACTAAAAATGCACACATAAATTTTAAGCAATAAATACAGAACTAATTACAGAGAAAAAATTGGTAACCAATCAAAAGCAAGATAGTTTACAGTTGTATTCCAAATTAATGAAGAAATTCTAAGGCAAACAAGGACCACAGAATATTAGCCTGGTAAATTTACAAGTTTATATAAGCTTGTCATGTCAATCCCAGGATAAGAGCTCAGATATTCAGGCAGAAACCTTGTACTAAGCCTTATTCTGTGTAATGCCTCAAGGCACTGAAGAAAATGCCAGGTGCAGACAGATACATCATCTGCCAAAAGCAAATTACTTTTACAGGCAAGCATGTACCAACCTGTCTAAAGCAGTCAATGAGGCATTAAAAACAGATAGTCTTAGTATGATCACCATCCATCTTATATGGGAAGGAATTCATGGGCATAGGAGTAATATAATTTCATGTTTATAGCAAAAAATAATCTTACTTAATAGGTCCTGGCACACCATCCATGCCTCTTGAGAAAAGCAAATTTCCTCAAAAAAGTATACGTATTGCTTTCATAAACATAAGTAAAATATGCAATTCAAAGATTAATGAACTTGCTTGCTGCATTTTCACATCTTTGCCCTTTCTACCTAACCTTCCTTCCATCCCCAACCCAAAAAAAGAAGTGTCACCCTAAAGTCACAGCATTAATCCATCTCCCCGCCAACCACCACCTCACCTTCTTCCCCCAAACCATGCTCCCCCCACAACCCCTCAAAAAGAAAAAAATTACATAGAATGAGGGAAATGAAAATGTATTACTGAACATGGTATACGTACGACATACCTATCAATCTCCCATACGTCTTTCCACCATTGCAATGGAATATAGCCTGTGAAATCCAAAAGTTATTTCGCATCATGAAGCATGAATATGTTATATCATATAATGCAAGAGAAAAAGAAAAGAATGAAGTAGCGAAAGTTAAAGGGTAACCGTCAGTTTAAAGACTTCACAATAGGAATTTAGAACTAACCTTCTTGAAGGATTTCATCCAAGCAATAGGCCAAGGTCCTAAATGGCAGAGTTTCAAATCAAATAACATAATGAATGTTGAAAGTTCAAAAATATTGAAATATGAGTCAAATGCATGCTGATGTTTCAGAGAATTAAAAGAAAATAGAGAGAAAAGACTGTAATTTCACTTTACTGTCCTACACGGTACACCTGTATATCTATATGTACAACGTGAAGTACAAAAACACCCCTAAAAGGTCAGACCTAAGATAAAGTAATTAAGTCCTAAAAAGTAGGCTTATGTATGGCTTGAGAAGAAGCTTGAGGCAAATTTGAAGGACTGAAGGAGACCATAGATCCAGAGAGTCAGTTCTGCATCTATCAAATCAAATCAAGTGACAACTGGACCTCTCAACAAGAAGCCCAAGCCCAGTTGCATTTGAGTGAGTGTTGGAGAATAAAAGGGATAAAAGTCCCACTTTGGAAACAAATGAAAACCATCTATAGCCAGATAAAGAAACCACAAGATTAAGACCCCATACATCTAAATGAATAATTATAAAAAACACGTAACTTTTATCACTAATAGGAGGATAATTATAAAAGAAACATGTTTATCATTAATAGGAAGATAAGTTTTATCATGTTTGGTAAATTCATCCCAAAATAAAGACTCCGTTTACATTGTTGAAATAATTTTGGATGTAGTTTTCTATAACAAAGAAAGAAGGATGTCCAAATTTCTTGTGCCATTTAGTTGTTGATCGGCAGACCTGCAATCACATGACAGATTATTCTATAATTTTTCTCATTTGACACAACACAATTCAACTCCCCAAGATCATGCACTTATTTTTTTGGCATTGCCTGCATGTCTCCTTTTAGCATTTGCTCATATGCAACACTGCTTATCACCCCATAAAATTTTGAACAGGGATGTTGCTCCTTTGTGACCAGAAGATATGGATTCAAGTCATGTACATAATCTTAATTTCAGGGCTAAGCTTTAAGATTTATGATGTAGAATGACTAGGGAAACCTCGATCATTTTAGAGATTAGGGTTAGGGTTTGCAGGATTCATGGAAATTAAGATTTGAAATATGGGTGGCTGGCACATCGAATTTTGCTTCGCAAAACCAAAGAAAAATTAAGCAAAGCCCTACCCATTCTAGCACAATTTTGAAATTACACAATTGGCCCTGAAAATACAAAAGCTAGCGTCTTCTGAATAGTAACCTGAAGCATTTGCTCTAAGTTCCATATGGAGCTCCTTTGTTATTTGCATTGTTTTGCTACACACAGAGAAAAGGAAAGAGATAAAAAGAAGCAAAGCTAGCTTGAGTTCAGATCCTTAAGTTTCTATCTTTTAAACCAGTTCTGGAAGATGCAATTTGAATAAGAGACATAGCATGAATTTTCTCAAAATATATGTTGAATAACGGTTGCATGAGTGTTGTTGACCGCAGCTATCATATCCACACACAATCTTTTCAATCAACATCAATCCCCATAAATGACATAATTATTCATAATCCTACATTTCAGCAAGTGCACATATCCAACTACATTTAATAAAAAAAAAAAAAATATTAGACTAAGTTACCTCCACTGCTTCGGCAATTATAAAACTCAATTGATGTTTCCCCACCTCTACAACATAGCACGTTGGATGCACATTTCTTGGCCAAATTAGGATCCTCATACCGGGTGCCAGCTATCTGCCATGCTCTTGATATAAGCCTATGTCACATTACTATAAAATTATCTATCATTTCCACAATTCAAAATATTGTAATAAATTTAACATTCTTAAAATAGCAACAAACCAAAAGAATTATATAGGAGTAGTCAAACTACAAAGATAAAGATAAGAAGCTTAGCATGACATTTAGAAATCAGTAGAGCCTTTAAGTTTTACTAAAAGATAACCTAGGTTTCAGCAAGGACAACAATCTATGGCGCCTATCTTCAGGAACATCCTCAATTTTTTTCCTGCAGCACATTAACATTCAAAACCAGATCAGACATATAAATTATAGGAATACTCGATATAATCAAAAAATAAGTTTTCCATTCCTTGAAAAAGAAATCTAGTCTGATGAACATGTACAACCAGAAGAAAACAAGTGATGCTCATGTTTCTTTTGTTCCTCGACATCAAAATCAGTAGTAAATAATACTATCCAACCTAACTTAAAAAGTGTGCAATGAATATGCACACTTGGCACATAAGATAGAAAGCAAAGCCCTCCACAAGTCTAGAAACCAGTATATGAATCAGCGAGGAGAATATGCTGCATAATGAGCTCCTCTGGTCCAAGGAAGAACCAAAATATGCTCTTCCAGTTGATCTGATTCAACCAGAAAATCTCATTTTCCATAGTTGTATATGTCAAGAATATATAAGAACGCCAACAAGAACTAATAAGGACTTTAATTTCCAGTACTGTTTTATTATGCCCCTGTTTAGAACTGATATTTACAATCAACATTTTGTTTTAAGAATTCTAAAACCTGTCTTCTTTGCTGCCTAATTCCCAGCAAGTACACTGTTCACCTTAAAAGAAAAAGTGATGAACAGTCAAATTTCCAGATATTATGTGGCTGATATATTCAATACTGTCAGTCAAGGATGGAAATACTACTTCATGTGTGTTTTCTACAAGCAACATCACACAACAACAAACATTTTGGCGTTTAGATATTAAATATGTCTATAATGCACCATGAAATGCATTCAGAAAGAAGAAAGAGTTAGAATCCCTATCTTCTAAAAGAAGCCAACATAATGGATATCTAATCAAAAAAAAAAAAAAAAAAAAAAAATTGTAAACCTATATTTTACAAATCAAACATTTTGTTTTAAGTAATTCTCGAGAGAACCTGTCATTCTTGTGACTGCCTAATTTCCAGCATAAGTACACTTCACCTTTAAAAAAAAAAAGTGAATTGAAACAGTCAAAATTCCCAGAATAATTATGTAGGCTGATATATTCAATACTGGTCAGTCAAGGATGGAAAATCTATCATGTGTGTTTTTCTTTAACAAGCAACATCACAAACAAACAACAAACATTTTGGCGCTCTTAGATATTAAATATTGTCTTATTAATGCATCCAGTGTAGGAAATGCATATTCAGAAAAAGAAGAAAGTACGTAGTCCCTATCTGCTAAAGAAGCCAAAACCATAATGATATCTAACTACAAAAAAAAAAAAAAAAAAAAAGCAATAATATTTATAGAGAATCTAATATATATACATACATACAGCATTCTTCCCAAATCCCAAAAAGCTGCCAATTAAAGTCATCTATTAGGAACCAAGAGGTCCCTATGAGGTTGCATATAGGATGACAGCCTCCAAAATATGAAATTAAAAAAAAAAAAAAAAAAAAAAAAAGCATAATATTTATAAGAGAATCTAAGTATATATACATACATACACATCTTCAATCCAAAGTGCCAAATTAATCATCTATTAGGAAACCAAAAGGTCCCTATGAGGTTGCATATAGGATACCAGCCTCCAAATATGAAATTAAAGCCGAGTCCAGATATGGATATCATCCAAAAAATAAAATTAAACTGACTTAAAGGTCCTGTTTGGTGTGAATAAATTCATTTAAAATTTCATGTTTTCATATTTGATATAAAAGAGAATGTTCATCGCACATCCTAAAAACTAAATTTTAGGGAATTCAACATAATAAATACAAATTATAAACTATGCTTCAGAAGTAAATAGAAGCCATTCATAAATATATTCTAGTTAATGATGCATTCTATACTTCATAAGTACACTTACTCCGCCTCAAAATAAGTTTCTCTTTGCCAAACAATCAAATTAAAGCAGGTTTTTTTTTTTTTTTAGTAATAAGTTGTACCTTAAGTATATTTAAACAAGTTAACCAACGTGAAACCATTGCTACCCATATCAGTATTAACCATATAAAAAAAAAAAACAAAAAGGAGCAAAAACGTTGCCACCCACCAAAGATAAGTAGCTGGATTGTAAGAATGAGGGTCCAAAGGAATCAATTCTTTAGGAGGATCAAGAAAAGTAACGACATCTTCCTCATCCAAGTATGCCTTTTTTCCATTTGGTAAAATCTCATAGGGAGTCTCATCCCAAGGCGGTATGTCAACGGCTCTGATTGCACCGCAAGTAAAATGTACCAATCTCCGATTCTGACCATTCCATTTCTTCTTTTCTACTACACCTGAAACAGCCACAACACAAACAATTGACAGTTAAAGAGTGTTTCCTTTCTTCTTTTCTCAAGTCGAAAGGATTGGAAGTGAAATCGAGGGTCTGGATATACGCAAATTTTGTTGTTGGCGAAGGATTTTTGGTGGTGATAAGTAGAAACTACGGGTGTGAAGCAGATGTTTGTCACAGTATGTTGCGCTCATCTTACAGGAGCGGAGGATTAGGAGTTTCTAATGAATTTCAAATTGAGGATTTTGTTTTGGTTATAGGAGGATTACGTCGCTGGGTAACTGGGTTTTGTCACATAACCCTCAACAGGTATTCATAGATGGCCAAAAACCTACCCAAGACCAATTCAAACAGTTCTGAAAAGCTAGTTTGATTCGATTCTTAAATTTTGAAAAATCAAGCTACTGGTTCGATTTACGGTTCTAAGTCAAAAGTATTTTTTTTGGGACTCGAATTCGACCAACCGAATCAAAAGTTTTTTTTATTGAAAGCAAATCAAAAGTATTTAAATCTAACAAAATTGTTATACGTATATGTAATTTGTTTGAATTTAGAAATAATCAATAATTTAATATGACTTTTAAACAAAAATTTTGGTTGTATTAATTGGTGTAATAATGCTCAATTAAGGCTCCGTTTGGGGATATTCAAGATAATAAACTAACGGAAAATATTTTCCTGTCAAAGAAAAATGAAATCTTCAAGAGTATAAAATATTTTTCGGATTTTGACAAATTTATTATAATCTTATAAATTCAAGACTTTGACAAATTTATTACAACCTTATAAATCCATACTTTTATAATTTATTTATCATTGATAGCCACCGACCACCATTCATCGTTCATTATCGACCACCACCAACACCAGTCACCGGCGAATTTCATAATTTATCTTTTTTTGCATTATTATCATATTTAACAATAACATTTTTAAAATACAACTTAATATTTTTAAGTAATTTTTCATATTGCAACCAAACAACAGAAAATAAATCATTTGGAAAATATTTTTCAAGTAAATTATTTTCTAAAAATGAACGGAGTATCTAAATTTTAACTCTTTATATAATTATCATCCTAATTTTACCAAAAACACAAAGAGCTCGTTTAGAATAAATGAATTATACAAATCTTGTAAATTCATTTGGAAATCCAAAATGATATTTTTGGAATGAAAAAGAATACAGATTTGAATTCTATAAAATTGGATATGCCTAACTCAAATTTCAATAAAATTGATAGAATTTGTAAATGAATTACACAAAATTAACCATTAAAATATTTATTGACAAAATTACCCTCCACTATAACTCAATATTTTTTATTTTTTTTTCCTTTATATTTATTTTCATTGCAACATCCCAAGCTATAACAGCGTTTTTTTTTTTTTCTAATCTAATAATGATGTTGATTTATATTTTTATTTTTTTTGAAAATTTCAAACCAATAATGACGTTTTTTTTTTTAAGTCTAGTAATAATATTAGTTATTATTGGTACGAAATCATTATAAAAACTGAGTATCAACAATTATTTTCAAATACAATTGAAAACAATAGTAACATTCTCAATTTTTTTAGTTTCTAAATTAATTACTTAAAGCAACAAAATTTTTTACATCAATTAAAAATAATTATTATGATGAATGTTACTGCTTATATAATTAGTTCATTAGCATGTAATATTAGTGTACTTATTTATATGAAATTTATTATTTATATTTTAATAAAAAATGACAAGTTATTATATTGTACATAATAAAAAATAACAATTTGAAACAATAAGTTATACGATTCTCAATTTTTTTAGGTATTCTAAATTTAATTACTTAAAAGCAACAATAATTTTACATCAATTAACCAAAGTAGAGTTATTATGATAATGTTACTGCTTTATATAATTTAGTCTTCCCCCAGGGGGGATTTTTCGCGAGTTCGAATTAGCAGTGTATATAGTGTACTATTTATATGAAATTATTATTTATATTTTTAATAAAAAATGGACAAGTTATTATATTGTAACATAATAAATATAATTGTGTTATTAAATTATTATCGTAAAGGATTGTAAAATAATAAAGACAAATGGAATTTCATCTAAAGAATTTATATCCAAATATAATTTTATTGAAATTCAATTGAATTATTTATTTTTAAATATGTAGCATACCAAACATAGACAAATTGCCATTTGCAGAAAGTGGAATGCTTTACTATAAACTTCATTCTACTTAAATGGATTCATTAAATCATAATTGGGGGGGGTGGGCGGAACGCCCCATCCCCCGATATTACAAGGGCCCAATAAAATGAAAAAAAGAAACAAGAATAATTAACGAAAATTTTTTTTATAATATTTTTTATATTGTATATTGGTATTTTATTAGTTTTTTGTTTAATTTTTAATTTTATTCTTCTTATTTTTTTCCTATTTTTCTATTTCCTCCTCTTCCCTCCTTTACCTCTCTTTCTTTAAGAATTTATTCCAAATATAATTTTATGAAATTCAATTGAATTATTTATTTTAAATTGTAGCATACCAAACATGACAAATTCATTTGCAAATGAATGCTACTTAAACTTCATTTATAAATGAATTCTATAACCATAATTCATTTGTTCCAAACGGGCTGAAAGTGTCAGAAGACCGAACATCAAGGGGATGAAAAAACTCAACAATAAATGATTTGGAAAGAAGCTTTCATTTTCGGAAATATATATGTTCTTGCTAGAAACTAATCAAAGAATTACATAATTCCACTCTCCCTACCTTCAGCTTATGAACAATCTACAAGAATAATTGACAACAAATACTACACAAAATGCTATCTATTTCACTGTAAACACAATCAAGCTTGCTAAAACCAGCATTCTTCACTAAGCTTCAGATTTCCAGATCTGGATCTGCTGGAAGCACGCACCTCCTTTAGAGCTGCCATCACATTTCAGCAAGTTGAATAAACTATTCCTCGTACCAATGATCTTGAGAAAACCAGAAAATTAGAAACCCGAGAAAGTAAGAACCAATGACCATCCCGCACCTCTGCATAAAAGATCTTTAAAACAATTTCCCAATGTTGCCTGAGAGTGAGAGCATTAACTCTCCCAAATGAAAAAATTTATATTTATGGTATTTCTATATGGAACCAGAAACGGTGCTTCAAAAATATCAGATAATGCTGGATGGGATGTCATCATGTCAACAGAAAAGCTTAGAACTCGGATTTTGCAGTGCATAACAACAGGAAGCAGGAGGGTCCTCGTAAGGTAGTCAACTATTGTCTTTGTAAACAGAACTCATCACTGGATGGCACATCTTCCTCTTCATGCTTCAGAAAATCTACATTCCCGCTGCAGAGTCCAGTAGATAAAGTTGGGGATAAAGGTGCATAGCCACCTGAGTTTGTTGAAGGTACAAAATCATATGCAGTCACTCGAAATATTGAAGAGTATTAATTCAACATAATTTCATATATTCTACTCATTTAATGAAAATGAGAGAAAGTGTGCAAGAATAAATATTTGTCACACACCTCTAAATGATGGACTTCTTTCAAATTCTCTGGTTGTTTGTAATAGGACAGTACCAGAAAGCACAACGACAAAGCCGCATATTTCAGAAACAATGTTTCCCATGCTTTGGTCATCCCAATCCTGAGATTATAGATTTTACCGTCCAGATATGATCATTTCAGACACAATGTCAGAACAAATAATGTTTTACAAAATAAATAAGGATAGTGTTCTTAAATTTCCTACCCTACAGAGTTCTAACCACAATATAGAATTAAACATTGTGTTTGGAATTTAACCCTGGACTCAGAAATAGGTTTGTTATCGACCAAAGCCTAGATACTGCTGCCTCAGAGTGGGGCATAAAAATCTTGGAAGGAAGGACGGCTTTGCTTGAAATGCCCAACTATTTCAACAGTGTTATGCATTCAAACTATCCAGTTTATGTCTGATATGACTTACACGAATTATTCTGTGATAAAGAGGAAGTTGCAAAATGTTTTCTTCCCACTTAATAAAGTCTACATAAGTGAAAGGGATACTAGGGGTTCAGGGAAAAAGAAACTGGCATAAAATATCAAAACTTTGATAAGAGATGAAAAGAACCTTGAACATGATTACACTGGCCAGAATTGTAAGTGATGTAAACATGACATAATAAATGGGGGAAACCACAGCGGTGTTGAATGTATCAAGCGCCTGGAAAACATTAAAATTGTAGTTTTAATTCCACATAAAACATGTAAATGTTAACTAGGTTTAAAATATAGATAAATACAGCATGAAGGCACAAAAAAAAAAATAGCAGGACAGCTGACTGAATACCCATGAAATTAACATTACATGATATGTGTGGTGTACAGAAGAGGAACATACAAGTAAAAGCATCACCAATTTATATAGTTTTACAAACATAAACTATAATTCTTTCAAAGGGGAAATTGGTATGGAACATGCAAAACATCTTATGGCAATAAATGCAGAATTAACAGGCCGAGGTTCTACAGAGAAGGGTTGATGCAGAACCAAAGAATTGCGTCTTGACACCCCAAAATCAGATTTAATATATAAACCCTAAATCCCAAATTAGAAACCACAAATCCCAAATTAGGAATTTCTTCTCGAATAAGGGATTTTGACCTAGTGCTTAACTAGAAGTATGAACCGAAGATATAAAGGTGAAAGAATGAATGCCACAAAGAAAGTTTAATTACTTTGATAAGTTCGATAATAAGTTTAATGAAGAACCAAAGAGAATTCACCTCTCTTAAATTCAATTGCATAAAACGCACAAGATCGTTCTCTGTCTCCATAATACTTTGAAAGCCAAGTATTGATATGTTAGAAACCATAACAACTAATTAAGACATAAAGCGCAATTCAAATATGCTCCATTATGCTAATTAAAACATAATACTAAGTACAAAGCTTAAGGTCCACATATTCGGATCATGTTAATCAACCTTGGATTTTCTTTGAAGCCCATCCCTTTATTTGGCACTCCAAAATCAGGCCCAAATATCTCCTTGATCAATCCATGTAACACGTTAGTCTTTGTCCTTGTCAGGCCCATTTGGTAGTACAATATCCTCTTGTGCAACTATGACTTGTTTTTTTGTTATTCTCCCTCTTTTCAAAAGGATTTGGCCTTTGAATCTTCAATGCAAAGGACAACCTTTAGAAGATGCCATCTGGATCGATCGGACAGAGGCCGTGCAGCAGTTTCCCGAGCTTTGTCTTGAGGACAAGACAAATTTCAAAGGGGGTGAGAATTATAAAGATGTGCCACCAAGAGTCTAGAGAGTTTGCATTAGAAGAAACCATAGTGAGAAGCAGGCAAAAGTTGGGATACCTAAAGAGTCCCAGATGGAATATGAAATCAGCTGTATGGTGGTATAAGAGTTATCTGTTGAAATTTTTGTGATTAAAATAAATATTGTGCTTCCTAGTTTAGGTTTATTCCTATTTAGATTAATTCCTATATTGAAACAATTTATTGCATATATATAGTGGAGTAGAGGTTGAAAAATATTACACAATTGAAAGAAATACAATACATTCTTTCTTTTAATTTCTACATGGTATTAGAGCATTGCCGTGAATTTTTCGGCAACGGTTTCAGTTTGAGAGTGGGCTGAGATACACACAGTACCGCCGGGAGCGGGAGTTGGTCGTCACCGCCCCACCTTAGAAGGAAGAGCGACCGCCGATCGACCCTCCATCCAAACTGCGTCACCGTCCGACCACGCGTGTGTGCACACGCCCCTCCAGAAGATTCTGGCCGTTCTTCACCCGCCGACGCGTGTGGCTGTTTCTGGCGAGCTCCGTCGACGTTTCTTGTTCCGACGGCCTCGACTTGTTGTGGCGATTTTCCCCTACTGGTTCTTCAACACCAGTTTTGCTTTTTTGGAATTTTTTTCCTTTTTCCAGTTTATTTCTGCCACTGTTGGTTCTTCACCACTGCCATTTGAATTTTTTTTTAATCTGACAGTATGGGTGACGGAAAGAAGGTGGATACGAGTTTCCACTCAGAGAGTCCCTCACTTTAGATTAGTCCGGTGAAGTTAGATGGAACAAACTAGTTGGCTTGGTCTCGGTCTTGTTTATTATTTATTGAAGCAAGAGGTTTGCAAGGATACCTTGTGAAGTTAGATGGAACAAACTAGTTGGCTTGGTCTCGGTCTTGTTTATTATTTATTGAAGCAAGAGGTTTGCAAGGATACCTTGATGGTGGAGCGACTAAACCTGTTTCGACAAATCCGGGTTTTAACAAATGGAAATCCGAGAATTCTCTTATTATGTCTTGGTTAATAAATTCCATACAGCCAACTATTTCCCGAGGATATTTGTTTCTTGATAGATATTTGTTTCTTGATACAGCTAAGAAGATATGGGATGTTGCTTCACAGACGTATTCACAAATTGGAAACTATGCTTAGAGGTATGAATTGCGACAGAGAGTCCATGAAACCAAGCAGGGAGATCTGACTATTGCTCAGTATTTTGCTGAACTTAGCGGATTATGGCAAGAACTGGATTATTATCAAGACTTTCAAGCAAGATGTACTGATGATGCGACTCAAGTTCAGAAGTTGATTGAAGTAGAACGTGTGCATGATTTTCTAGCTGGCCTAAATAACGAGTATGTTCAAATTCGAGTCCAAGTTCTTGGACGAGATCCTTTTCCATCCTTACGACAAGCATACTCATTTGTACAGCAACAGGAGACTAGGAGGAATGCTATGGTTCACAGATCTACCATTGACAAAGCAGGTTGATTGCTAATTCTGCAAGACAACATATCCAGGCTGCAAAGAGAAGTTCTTCAGATAGAGATCAATTATTTTGTGATTATTGCGGTAAGAACAGGCACACTAAGGAGTTCTGCTGGAAATTACATGGACGCCCAACTAAACTGGAGGAAAGCGGGTCAGTTCGTTCCAGACCACATGCAGTACATTCTGTAGTGGAGATTTATCTGCAGGAACCACTACTGCTGGGAAAGCTTTTCTGATAAGGAGATTTCAGTTGCCCTGTTGAAAACGATTATTGTCACTGGCTTAAATTCTCGTCCTCAACTTCAGACTGCGGGCCTCCAATTTTTGTTAATTCAGGTTAAGTCGTTGTCCTGTACGTTTTCTTTTGCAAAAATTTGCAAAACCCTCTTGGGTTTATAAATTCAGAGGAGGCAATAAACATACAGTTATAGATTCAGGAGCAAATAAACATACAACAGGCTCTGTAAAACATTTCCTCATATATTCTAAGTATCAAGGCACAGACAAAATTCGCATTGCGGATGACTCCTTAGTACCAATTGCTGGCACAGGTTCTATTGACTGTACTTCCAATATTAAACTCTCAAATATTCTTCATGTTCCTAGCTTTCCTATTAATCTGTTATCTGTTAGCTTAATCACAAAAGCACTTAATTGCAAAGTAACTTTTTACCCTACTCATTGTATATTTCAAGAACTGAACACGGAGAGAACGATTGGGAGTGGTAGCTTGCGCGATGGACTATATCAAAGTAACTTCATGCTGGATGACATTTGTCGTTTTTCAAATTCAGGTACCAGTTAAGCTTTGTTAGGAACTTCTAGAAATCCTTCCCATGAAGTTATTCAATGGCATAGGAGATTAGGACATCCCTCTTTTTCTATTTTAGGACGTTTATTGTTTAATTTCCCGCTTTGTTGTGCGTAACTGTGATTTTAATTCATGTAGTTATGTGATGCTTGTGAACTGCCAAACACACCTAGCATCTTATTTCTCCCAATTAATAACCAAAAATTTTGATTCCTTTGCTTACTTATTCATCTCTGATGTTTTGAAGGTCCTACTAAAAACTGTTCCTCTTTTCTGGTTATAGATGGTTTTTGTGACCGTTTATTGATTGTTGCCTAGATTGACGGATTTATTTGATTGAAAACAAAAAATGAAGTTTTCAGAAACTTCCATAAAAATGATTTGTACTCAGTTGATGCAACATTGTTAAAATTCCTAAGAAAACCGATAATGGTACTAATACATGAATGTAGATTTTCGTACCTATTTTAGATTCTATGGTATTAACATCAGACTAGTTGTGTCAATATAGTGCTCAAAATTGGAGTTAGCGGAAAGGGAAAAAATAGGGCATACTGAAGTAGCTTAGGTCCCTGTGTGTCAGCTATGAATCTTCCCAAAAAAACATTGGGGGAGTGCTATTTGGACTGCTGCTTATCCTACAATCGTATTTATGCCTCTTCGTAACTGTTGAATTTTAAAACTCCATTAGAGGTTCTTCAAGAAAAAAATCTTATATTTGTACCCCGTAAAGTCTTTGGTTGTGTTTTGCTTCCTAAAGTCTTTGGTTGTGTTTGCTTTGTTCATCAGAATGGTCTAAGCAAATTAGACTAGAGCCTTAAAGTGTGTGTTTGTTGGTTACTCTAGTACTCAAAAAGGATACAAGTGTTACCATCCTTCTTTTAGGAAATACTTTGTGAGTATGGATGATACCTTTTGGGAGTTTAAATCTTATTTTCCTTCCCAGTCACCTCTTCAGGGGGAGAAATATCATATGAAGAGATGATAGATGACATTTCTTTCCAGGGGGAGATTCCTATAGAGATAGATAGTAAGAGAGAGCAACCACCCAAATCTCTAAGAAGATTGGATAGACCTGATTTGAAAACCTACACATGGCGGACTAATACAGATACAACCATGGAGATACAGACAAAACAAGAATCTGTGGTGAGCCTTCCTGTTGAAGTTCCTGTTGATTTCTGATCCTAATTCTTGATCCAGTCTTTCTGACAATGACCTTGATTATTTCCTAGTTGCCTTAGAAAGGAGTTAGAACATGCACTAAATGCCATCTGCCCATTTTATTCTCCAGTATAATGCTCTGTTGCCTTCCTATTAGGCTTTGTTTGTCTGTTTCTTCTGTGTTTCTATACCGCAGGGATGGCAAGAGGCATTACAAGACTCAAAATGGAAAGGCTGCAATGGTTGAGGAAATTGAAAGAGCTTTAGGCAAAAACCGAGACATGGGATCTTGTAAACTCCTTCCACCAGGAAAAAGAAGCCAGTTGGATGTAAATAGGTTCACAATTAAAACATAAGGCAGATGGTTTCCAATTGAGAGGTACAAGGCTAGGATTGGTAGCTAGAGGATTCAGTCAGACCTAGTGAAGTTGATTATCATGAAACATTTTTGCCCCGTAAGCCAAGATTGAAACACAATCAGAATTTTGTTATCTTTTGCAGTCAATCGTTGACTGGGGAGTTATATCAATTTGATGTTAAAAATGTTTTTCTAACAGTGGTTGATTTGAAAGGGGAAAAAGAAGTGGTGGTATATTGGAGATTTCCTCCTCCTGAATTGTTGAGGATGACAAAACCAGAGGAAAGTTTTGCAAGTTGGTGGGAAAAAGTCATATATGGGCTAAAAACAATCACCCTAGAGCTATGGTTTGAAAGGTGTTAGTTAAGCATGCTTCTTTTTCAGTATTATTCAAAGTGATTGCTGATCATACTTTGTCATTAAACATCATGAAAATAAGATCACATTGGCGTTATGTGTTTATGTGATGATTAGTGATGACTGATAAAATGAAGAAGAAATGGACTCAATTGAGAAATTGTTAGCTACGGAGTTTGAGATTAAGGATTTGGCGAAAAGTTGAGATATTTCCTGTGAGGATGGAAGGTGCTCTAGGTCAGAAAAAGGGATTTTTATTTCTCAGAGAAAGTACATCCTTGATCTCCTTAAAGAAGCTGGTATGTTGGGATGTAAACCTGCAGAATCACCTACTGAAGCTAATCATAAACTTCAAGCTGGAGTGGGAAGTTCAGTTGATGTTGGCAGGTATTAGAGATTGGTTGGGAGGTTGATTTACGTTGCCCATACTAGACCAGATATTGCCTATGCTGTAAGTTTAGTGAGTCAGTACATGCATGACCTTCGGGAGTCTCACTTAGAAGCAGTGCATCGAATTCTGAGATATTTAAAATCAACTCCAGGTAGAGGACTTTTATTTTCTAAACATGGCCATTTAACAGTTTAACAATAACAGGCTATACAGATGCGGAGTTGCGGCTGGTTCCCTTCGATGACAGGGAGATCAACTCAGGTTATTGTTGTTTTTGTTGGAGGAAAACCTGGTCACATGGGGAGAAGCAAGAAGCAGGCTGTTGTTGGCAAGAAGCAGGCTGTTGTTGCAAGGTCCAATGCAGAAGCTGAATATAGAGCTATGGCACAAGGAATCTATGAACTTCTATGGTTGCGCAGATTAATGGAAGAGTTCAAGTTGGTTGAAACAACAAAAATATCATTGTTTTGTGATAGTAAAGCAGCCATCAGCATTATGAACAATCCAGTCCAGCATGATCGAACTAAGCACATAGAGATTGATCGTCACTTTATATAAAAGAGAAGATAGTTGAAGGTTTTATAAGTGTCTCCTATATAGCTTCAAAAGAGCAACTAGCTAATGTTTTCACAAAGGGTTTGCATAGCAAGTCATCCTTTAGTGCAGTTGGCATGATGTAGATATCTATTTTGCACCAACTTGAGGAGTGATTGAAATCGTTTTGTGATTAATAGTAGATATTGGTGTTTCCTTCGTTTAGATTTATTCCTATTAGTGTAAAGATCCTTTAGTTTGCAAGTTGGGCATGAGTAATATCTATGCACCAACTTGAGGGGGAGTGTTGAAATCTTTGTGATTAAAGTAAATATTGTGTTTCCTCGTTTAGATTTATTCCTAATTAGTGTAAAGATTGTGTTTCCTAGTTTAGGTTTATTCCTATTTAGATTATTTCATATATTGAAACAATTTTTTGTACATATATAGTGGAGTAGAGGTTGAAAAATATTACACAATTGAAAGAAATACAATATATTCTTTCTTTTAATTTCTACATTATCTGATGGGTATATGGCTGTCAATAAAAGGGGATGATGGGGGGAGAGAGGGCAGGAAGTCTCAGGTTATAATTTCATTAGGAAACAGGAATTATGTCTTCTGTTTGGGCTCAAGCTGCTGCTTTGACTCTTGGGATTATTTTTCTTTTGTTTTCTCAGAGTTCTGAATTTTATTTCCACTTGTAATTCGTTGGTTTCAATAATAAACACAGCCATTAGCTTTACTCCACAACACATGGCAGATCATCAGATTATATATGTGTATGGGGAAGAAAAAATGGAACATATTCTAGACTTAACTTGCTGCCTAGTCAATAACAATAAAAATTTTAATGTTTATGTTCAAAAGGACGTTAGATATAGCAGACCACCTAAGAATTGAGGTATGTTATCAATAAACAACTGGAACTGAGAAATTTTCCAGCGAAAAGAAATAAAGCAGAAAGGAATTAGAAAAAGGTAAGAATGTGATGTAGTGGTGCAACTTTTTATATCTCCAATATAATCTGAATAATGGAAACAAACAGGCATCAAATAGGATTTAAGAAAAGAAAAGGCATTGCAACCTCACCACTAACCTTGTTGAGATAATTCATTTGAGTGATGACACATGTAGCAACAACAAACATGAACAGCCACGTCTCCGGATAGATTAATTGGTTGTTTCCTTCAAAAGTTAATTTCAGTGCCATTCCAACAGCTTTAACACTCATCACCTGAACAATGAACACTAGTTACTCAGAAGCAGAACAACATGCTGTTAAAATTTAGCATAAAAGATTTACAAATGCGATTTCAGTCCTTCCATCCAAATGTCAGGAGATACAATCCAAATCAACCACTAGAAAAAGCCATATTAGATAACACATGTAAATCAGTACAGTCAGCAAAACCTTCTCTAGATTGTACTAACCAAGAGAACTGAATAGTCTATTTATAACCATTTTTATCCATCACTTAACCAAATTCAATCACCCAAGACTCTTAAAGTGTCCACCTGGCTGATTACTAAATCAGGTAACAGCAGAGATGTTCTCACAACCATTCAACCGATGAAAATAATTCGACTTTAAACTTGCATTCAGCTTTACAAAACACAGATTTTTTTTTTTTTCCAAAAAAGCTACCTGCAATTCAACTTAAGTTAGAAAACTGGTTAAAATGAAAACCCAAGAGCACTGTCATTGACATTTTTACATGCAATAAAAGATCTTTAAAAAAAATACCGTTAGTTTAAATGACTTACTGAAAGTGAACCCATCAATGAGCATATGCCAGTGAAAACTAAGACATTAGAGTGCCCACATTGTGGTGAAAAATGGAAAACCAGAATAAAAACAAGCACAATCACTGAGGCCACATAGAGCAAAAAAGCTGTCACAGAAACGGCAATTTGGTTAGCCAAACACTAAAGAGCAATGTGAACTTGAAGGAAATGTACACATGGCAAAGGAAAATTCTAACCTGGTTGAGTTGCCATATTCCATATTTCCTGAACAGATGTGATAGGGTGCTCCTGTGGTGCATGAATCACAATAATGATAGAACCAGCAATGCACATTATACAACCCAAGATCCCTAGCTTGTGTAACTTCTCATTCAAGATAAATTGTGCCAAAACAGCACTACGCGCCATCAAAAAGAAATGTACACGTTTTTAGAATAGATTACTAAATAAAATCAGACAAAAAAGATTAAACACTAACAACAGATTACCTGACAATAATACTTAATGCACCAAGCGGAGTTACAAGAACTGCTGGAGCAAATGCATATGCAATAAAGTTTGCAACCTCTCCTACAATCACTGTATACAGAACAAGGTTTATACAGAATCAGTAAATAATTTAATGGGAACAACAAATCACAATTCACATACACCAACCAACTAGCTTGCTGTCAATTTAACTAAAAAAATATCAATTTCTTGAGCTGACATAAGTGAATTAAAATTAAAGTTTCAGAAGAATTTTCATTGGCAGAAGAAGTTAGTTCACAAGCAAAATCAAACAGTGAAAAGATACAACCACTCTTCAGATACCAATAAAATACCCATTCATTTCCATACAATAGTGGAATCATATGACCGACAAAATTGACCAATAACCAAAAAGGAAAAAATGCAACTTCTCCAAAACAAAGAATGGAATTAAGGAAGAAAACAACAATCTAAACTTACTTGTGAACATGCCCAACCACCATAAAGGTTCCAAGAGATAAGAAAATCCACCAACACCTACAAATATCCAAAAAGTTAAAAGAACCCATTAATAAAACCAATGAACCATTCAAGAAAACCCAGAAAGAAATTGAGATAAAGAAAAATAAATAAATTAAAATTAAAATCACCAGCTCTAACACCAGAAACTGCAGCAGCTCTTCTAAGGCCTTTCTTCTTGATAATGAAGCTTGCCCCTATAAAGGCACTTGATGACAAAGCCAAAATAAACCCTTTAAGATTGTCTTCAGAGAAACCCATATTGAATATCTCTCTTCTATTTGTGTTGGATTTTCTTACTTTTCCTTCTTCTTTTCATTGAAATCAGCCAATCATGAGCTCTTTTTTGTTTTTGGCTGACCAAATTCGTCAGCCAGAGCGAATATGATCCTCCGTCCACTGTTTGCAGCGATGAAATAAGGGAACGGCTACGGTGTAATACTACAGAGCTAATTTGTGTGTGCGGACTTTGTAAAAGGGCTCCACCTCATTTGTACAGTAAATATTATGCTCCCCTTGTTCTTAACGTGGTATTAGAGTATTATTTTTTTCCTTGGCTTTCATATATTTCACCTGAGGGACTCATAAAATTTTAATTTTTTGATTAATGAAATTTTCCCTTCCAAACATAATTCCTTGATTAAATAAGTGTGTAATCAAGGAATTATTATGATATAATAACAATCTTTAAAACATTTAGTTAAAGATATTTTTTTTAGATAAAATGTTAACAAATATGATAGTCAAATAATTGTCTCCCTGGATAGATGATAAGCACTAATCACTAAAGAAAGAAATTTTTATTCTCAACAATACCTTAATTATTAATTTATTTTTCCTTTATATAAAGAAAGCAACATGTTTCCCAAAGCATATTTCTTCATTTATTTATCTTCTATATAGTTATTAATACTTTTTGCCTTTAAATTTAATTAAAACCCTATATGGAAAATTTAATTTTGATAAGAATAATACTAGTAATATGTGGTTTTTAGGTGCATCTCTAACATTTACTATTTGAGCATTTTAAGCTGGAAGAATAAAGCAAACACAGATGAATGTTGATCCTCCATAACGTTTATAACATTTACCCTGGTAATGAGTGATGTCAAGCTGATTTTCCAAAACTGAAATGCTTATAGATCTCAGATCAGTCAATTTATGGACCTTTGCAACATTACTTAATGAAAGGTTTAAGATACCCTCTATTGTCCAAATTGACAACCAATAGATGATGATACAAGAAACTTCTGAGAAAACAGCTCGTGTTATCATCAGCTTTGAGATTAGTCGCTTTAATCTTCAACTTGGTGGCGGTGGGGGAGGTGGATGCATCAACATTTGTTGCATAGGGGGTCCCCCAGCCAACTGCTGTGGAGGTGGTGGCTGCCGCCATACTTGTGGTTGGATTCCCATTCCCATTCCCATTGCCGGTGGTGGAGGCCTTGGTAGGGAGACCAGAGCAGCCTGGGGAAGGGGTGGTGGCATGTTTGGTGGAGGTGGTCTGAACTGCATTTGAGGTGGAGCCATAACTGGGGGAGGCACTGCTTGACCTGGCTGTGGTGGTTGACCCTGCCAAGCTGGTTGTCCAGCTACCTGCATTTGTGAGAAAGCTGCATTTGGTGGGGGTGGCGGGCGGAGAGCTGGAATTGGGCTTGGAGGAGCAGCACCATTTGCAAATGGGAAGGAGGCACTGGTGCACCGGTGCTCCATTGGCCTAAGCAATGCTTGGAAGCGTTGGAGGCCCACTAGCAAACAGAGTGTGAGGCCTGCTCTTTTGGGCACTTGGATTGCTTGCAGCCAAAACTCTCTCTGTATCATAATAATTAAACAACTTGTATTACATATAGAATTAGCTTCACCATAACATGCAAAGAGGAAAGTTTCACAGCAATATGTCAGATCGTAGTAGTGACTATCACAGCGTAGTTGACCAGAAAGGGAACCCATCGTCACAAGAGGTTGGGAAATAAGTAATATAAGAATATACTATAGCAATAAGTCAGTCTACAAAACGCCCCACCTGCTGCGGTACCATGACGCTCCCCTTTTGTGTCTTTCTCATATGCAAATGAAACTGTTACCTGGCGATTGCAAAGATATTGACCATTCATTGCCTGTTAAAAATCAAGAAAATCTATATATGCTTCAGTACAGACAAATCAAGTCACAGAGCTCACATGATGCGACATTGCATTGAGTATCCAACCATTTCGGTTAGTAAATATTTCAGACTTAAAGCAAAGTTTCCTGTAATCCTAAATTTAAAATTGAAATGAACAGCCATTTACACAAAAACAAAACATAAACCAAACTGAGGCTTAAAGGTTTGTTTCAATTCAGTTGGTTTTTGTTTAGTTTTTGGTCTACAGGGTAGAGATTTTCTATTTAATCGCAAACCATTACAACCTTCAATTATTTATTTTTTTTTTTTTTTTTTGGTAAATATTTTCAGACTTTAAAGCCAAAGTTTCCTGTAATCCTTTAAATTTAAAATTGAAATGAACAAGTCCATTTACATCCAAAAACAATAACATAACCAAACTGAGGCTTAAAGGTTGTTTCATTCATGTTGGTTTTGTTTTAGTTTTTTGGTCTAGCAGGGTAGAAAGATTTTCTATTTTAGATCGCAAACCATTACAACCTGTCAATTATTCATTTTTTTTTTTATTTTTGCCAAGCCAGAAAAGTTTTACTACTGAACCAAACAAAAACTAAGTTTTTGAATACTTAAAAATCATAATTAGATGAAAAGGGATAAGGCTGTCAATTTAGTCTCCAACCTTTCCACGTGTCTCCAATTAGGTATTATAAAATCAAACTTCAGGATAAATTTTAGTACAATAATTTTAATTTTCCAAGATCAGTTTTACTTAATTCGTTTTTCAATAAGTAAGTAAATTTGTTTTTTTAATAATATTCATTTGTTTAAAATGAAAAGAACTAAAACGTTTAAATAATTGAAGATATGTTGGGTGTTCCATCGTTTCTTTCTGCCTTCATCTCTTAAGTTCAAACCTTTCTCAACCACCTCCACCACAATCCGTTTATATTTTCAACTTAGCCAGAAAACCATTTCATCCCACCCAGGAACCGTAAATTGCCAATGCCCTCAAAAAAACCCAGACAAAGCTCTTACTCAAAATCCCCAGACAACAATTGTGGCTCTAACACTTCTTGCGAATGGAAATAAACTTACCTGTCGCCCGATTTAATTTTTTTTTTTTTTTTTTGCCAAGCCAGAAATTTTTACTTCTGAACCAAACAAAACTAAGTTTTTGAAGTACTTAAAAACATATTAGATGAAAGGATAAGGCTCAATTTAGTCTCCAACCATTTCACGGTCTCCAATTAGGTATAAAATCAACTTCAGGATAAATTTAGTACAATAATTTTTAATTCAAGATCAGTTTAGCTTAATTCGTTTTTCAAAAGTAATAAATTTTTTTTTAATAATATTCATTTTTTAAAATGAAAAGAACTAAAACGTTAAATAATTGAAGAATGATGTTGGGTTTCCATCTTCTTCTGCTCATCTCTTAATCAACCTTTCTCAACCACCTCCACCACAATCCTTATATTTCAACTAGCAAAACCATTCATCTCCACCAGAACCTCAAATTGCCAATCCTCAAAACCCAGACAAAGCTCTTACTCAAAATCCCAGACAACAATTGTGGCTCTAACACTCTTGTCGAATGAAATAAACTTACTTCGCCGATTTAATGCAACTGCAATTCTCAACTTCATATCCAAAGCTGATTTGAACAATCATATGATTCATATCCCCTGCACTTCTCACTGAATGGAACATTCCTGATTTCTCCAAGTTCCCCTATCTTATTTATACCCCTCTTTTTCTATGGCAACTCTTTTGCTGGTTTTCTTTCCACCTTCTTTCATTTTCAGAAACTTGATACTCTTGATTTCTCCAATTTCATTTGCATGCATGGAGATCAATTACATTTTGGTTCAAAATAAGCTAAGGGTGTAGAGATGGTGATGAAGAGAGCTGCAGTTTGGGGTTTGAGTCTGGATGACGGAGAAAGGGCAATAAATGGAGGGCTTTTGGTTTTCTACATTTCTTTTTTCATTTTAAATATCTTTTATTATTTTGAAAATACAGAAATTACTTTCTTTTCCTCACAAATTGGGCTAAGTTGATCATAAATGGAAAGTTTGTATAGTAAATTGATTATAAACTAAATTTTAGACCTAATTGGTTGCAAGAAAGATGTGGAGCTATATTGAGCATTCATTTTTTCTCAAGAATTGGCTAAGTTGATCATAGATGGAAAGTTTGTATACTCAATAGAATATAAACTTAATTTTAGACCGAATTGGAAATTGCAAGAAAGATGAGCCAAATTAAGCATTTCATCCTGGATGAAATGATTTGATGCACATCAGAAATTGCATTTTAACTGAGAGTACAAACCGCCTTATAAACAGGTTCAATTAACTCTCTCTGTTTCTGAGGAGTTGAAGTACTTATTACAATCATTTCACTTCCTCTGTTTCTAAGGAGTTGAAGTACTTATTAGAATCAAAATGACCCAATAATACAGCCAACTATTTTCTGGATTCTAACTTATAATATTTCTCTGGCAAATTTGAGAATAAAAATGCAAACAGAAAGGACTTACCTCAATTGCCGCAACAGATGACTCAAAGGAATCATAGCTAATGAAACCAAAACTGCGGGAATTTCCAGTCTCGGGATCTCTCATTATCTGGAAAATATAAGTGCAAAGCATCAGAAGACAAAAGCTAATATGCATCGACATTTTGATGGATTTAAAAAACAATAATCAGAGAAAAAGAAAACGCTTTTATCAATCACATGCCTGTGTAAACAACACACTTTTAGATGTTTTAAACAAATGAAAAACTAATTTAAATGTTTGAACCTGCAACTTATGCCACTCACATAACTAGCTTGCAGAGAGAATATTTCTAATTAAGTGAATATGCCATAATGTAATAATTACCCCACATAGGTGCCCCCTATTTGTCTATTAAATCACTATAATTACACTACTTTCATCATTGTTGTTAAATGTGAAAATTAAATAAAAGAAACAAATTTAAAAATAAAATACCCGACAATTTGTCTGACCGAATTAACTCCAACTGCTTTAAAAGAAGCAGAGTAGAAAAAAGCATTAATGTGGAAGGCAATTATCATGTAATTTAAGGATCAGACAAAATTTCTTGTGTCCTTATTCCTAAGCAAGAGTTCATACAAAATGGATGGTGAGCCTATTTTCCACATAGTAGCATCTATAAGAAAACTAAGGCAAATATAAGATAAACATAAGATGGAGGAAACCAGAATCCACCCTTAAATTGGACTGATGTAAAGTCTATCCCTCGAGTTTTACACAACTACTAAGGACAGCAAGATCAGTCATGTTCTCAATGACAATCCAAAAGCTTGCTCAAACTATGGAGCTCCAAAAGAAGCCCAAAAAGTGGATTCATGAAAAGAAGTGCGTATACACGGCTAAAAGCAGCTATCATATTTGATAGATCAGTCATTTGGTGCAACAGATGCAGGTATCGTTTTTTTATGGGTGAATCTATGGAATTTTAAACTTCCTCCAAAGTTTAGAATTCTTTGTGGAGTGCATGCAGGGCTTGTGTGCCAACTAAGGATCTTTTGGCTCAAAAGAGAGTAATGGTGGATAATCGGTGTCCGGTGTGCAAAGTTGAGAACAAATCCATTTTGCATATTTTTGCAAACTGCAAGATAGACAAAGAGTGCTGGAACTCAGTGTTCCATAAAATGCCTACATTAATGATCGCTAATTTCGAGAGTTGGTTTCTGGAATTGCTGAAATGGATGGGTAAAGATGGTCTGTGTTTATTTTGTATAATTTTATGAGCTTTATGGAAAAACAGTAATGTGCCTTTTGGAATGGAATGGACAGATCAGCAAACCAGATCTTTTTATGGCTCAATGTTCAAGAAATGATGTCTTTTGTTGCTGCTTGTTCTGGTAACCTGCAAGGACCTGGTGATCCTCTTTTGGATGAAGCATTGAGCTTCTGTGAAGTGTTGAGCTGGTTGACAACTGTGGCCTTTGATAAAGTTTATTTTTGAGTCTGATTCTTCTTTTAATAAAAGCTCTCAAAAGGAACGCGGATGAATTATCTTATTTTGGTTTGGTTGTAGGATTGTATTGCTCTTTGTATTGCTCTTTTTAACAACTACAACCAACAATCTATTGTTTTACCAAGAGGTCAGCAAATCATGTGCTCACAATCTAACTGGGGTATCTAGTTCTTCGTTTGGTTTCCAGGAGTAGCTCTCAGTCCCTCCTGCTTTTATTTGTAATGTTTTAGCAACTCATTTAGCTTAATGAGGTCTTTGTTTTGCTGCTTCAAGAAAAGAAAAAAAGAAGTAAACAAAAAATTATTTAGTTATCATAGTTCATAGCAAAGAACAACTATTGATGCCTAACTTTGCACCCCTAATAAATGCCCAATGACGATAACCAACAAACAATAGTGAACAAATGCAAAGATGGTAGAATTAGAGTAATGTCCTAGCCACTGCAACTTTAGGAATCCTGGATGGGCCTTACTATGTTGTTGTATGTGCATGCATGGGTGAAAACATAAGGGGCACCCAACACTGGAAAAGGGCGCATACCCCTTTTGTTTATGGCTTCTCGTTATGCTTTATGATATTTATTACATATGGCTGAACCCAATTAGTATAAAATTAAGGTTTAATTGAAACAACCCCCAACCCTTTTTGTTGATGGGCTTCTCGTTTATCTTTTATGATATTTATTACATTATGCTGGAACCCAATTAGTATTAAAATTAAGTTAATGAAAACAACCCCCCACTCGCCCCCCCCCCCCCCCCCCCTCCCCCCCCCAACACTCCAAAACAAAAAGAAAAAAAAAAAACATAGGGGATTGCAACTTTTCTGTTTATTTCCCCCAACACCCAAAACAAAAGAAAAAAAAAAACATAGAGATGCACTTTTCTGTTTATTCAGCTGGAGGGAAAGGAGGACAGTAAGCACCAGACTTGTCAAATTTCAGATTTCACAATGGTGTTCGTCATCAATGATCAATTGGTTATTTCAAACTTAAAAAAACCACAGGCATAAACAAGAGGGATCAGACATAGGATATAATTAACTCCAGCAGGATACAAGCATAAAATTTATTTTCTCTCTCTCATTTGTTTGCACTTTTTCCAAAAGTTCATAGACACAAAAATCTAAATTCAGATGCAACTGAGAGAAGTTCAGGGGAATGACCTTGGGGTTTATAACTATAACTCCAAAGGCACTAAAAGTATCATGCAGAAGTTTCTCATCAACGTCCTGCAAAATATAAAGTTGTTAGTTTCCATATAAGCAGCAGTACACATATCCAGCAACAACCCCATATTCTTTTGGTAAAATTTAACCAACTTACAGGGTCCAAGTTTCCAATAAATAGGTTTGCTCTTACATCCAAACTCTTTTTATCTTGCGTCGCCTAAAACCAAAAAAAGATACAAAATGAAAACCACAATACCCTAACGTAGCTAAAACTCATAACCAATAAACAAACCAAACAATCAAAGCTGACGAGCTTAAATTTTGGTACCTTATTTACACGTATTGGCTTCCCATAAAGCTTAATCATATTCAAAACCTTAATTGCCTGCATATTCATCAATTTAGAGCTGAATCAAGCCTTCTAAACTAAATTAAATAAGAGAAAATCAAATAACAAGAAAAGCAAAGCAATGCCTACTTAGTTGAGACTTACATAGTCAGCATCTTCTTCACTCCTGAATTCAACAAATCTATACCCTTGGTGGAGATTTGTTACTCTATCCTTTGGAACATATACATTAACTCAAATTAGGGAAAGAAAGAATTAGAAACAGAGATTTAACTAATTAAAACAAAATTCAAGTAGAAAAGATTGAAAAAACAAAAAAAAAGGATTGAAGATGTTACCAACAGTGCCTGCTTGAACAAATAACTCCCACAGCAATTCCTCAGACACCTGAGGATCGAGATTGCTGACGTAAGCGGTGGCGTCTTGGTTCCTCTCCACCGAGTGTTGGCCAAGTAAATTTGCTCCAACTCCTGGAGCTATTCGAGTTGTCATTATTATTTTTAGCAGTGGAAGAAAGCTTAGTGGTTAAATTCAAGTTGAAAAGATTGAAAAAAAAAAAAAAAAGTTTGAAAAGATTGAAAAAAAAAAAAAAAGGATTGAAGATTTACCAAAACAGGGCCTGCTTGAACAAATAAATCCACAAGTAATTCCCAGACAACCTGAGGATCGAGATTGCTGGACGTAGCGGTGGCGTCTTGGTTTCTCTCCACCGAGTGTTGGCCAAGTAAATTTGCCTCCAATCCTGGAGGCTATTCGAGTTATCAATTAATTATTTTTTAGCAGTGGAAGAAAGTTAGTGGTTTTAAATTCAAGTAGAAAAGTTTGAAAAAAAAAAAGGATTGAAGATGTTACCGAACAGGGGCCTGCTTGAACAAATAACTCCACATAATTCCTCAGGAATGCAGGACCGAGATTTGCTGACGTAAGCGGTGGCGTGGCTCGCCGAGTGTTGGCCAAGTAAATTTGATCGAGATTGCTGACGTAAGCGGTGGCGTGCTCCGCCGAGTGTTGGCCAAGTAAATTTGCTCCAACTCCTGGAGCTATTCGAGTTGTCATTATTATTTTTAGCAGTGGAAGAAAGCTTAGTGGTTGGCGTCGGTGAGAAGAGGTCGGCGGTGAGTTGCGGCAAGGTGGGTGGTTTCCGCGGTTGGCGTCGAGGTCGGCGGCGAGTTGCGGCAAGGTGGGTGGTTTCCGCCCCTGACACACCCCCCTATTCGAGTAGCGAAGGAAATAGCAAGGAAGATGCAAATTCCGAACCGAGCTTGAGCCTTTCCTATTCCTATAGAGGCCCAATAAGGAAATTAAGGAAATACTAATAGCATGTCTTTTCTTTTATTTAAACGTACTACTAACGATGGCAATTTAACCCACGAGCCAAACTGGGTCGTTTTTGCTTAGGGTTGCATTTAATGCCACAAAGAAAATTAAATTCCTCACAAACAACAGCTTATTCCTATTTTCAACTCACTGCACCGCTCCTCTCCTTCCAACCATTCCCAGTTTTTTTCTTTCTGTACTTTCACGTTGCTTCCGTGCCCGTGCCCGTCGACTCGGCAGCAGTCCTGCTCTTCAACCGTAGTGCCACTATCAGGTTCCTCCATTTCCATTCTCCATTTTTTTTTTTTCTTTTTCGCCATAGGATGTCTTCGTTTCTTTTCCTTTTCTTTATTTTATATATTAACGGACAAAGAAGAGGAATTGTTGAATTCATTTGTAGGTTTAGTCGAGAGAGACAAAGATAGATGTTTATTATTTTTTTTTCTTTTATTGGTTTTGTGCAGGTTTTATTTGTTATTTTCCATCTAAAACGGTTACTTTGTTATGCAAAGTTTCCTGTTAAGTTGAACGAAGATAATTAATTTCTTGAAAATGTGTATGTATTAAAAGAGAAAGAGAAGGGAAATTAGATATTTTGTGCAGAAAACAAGTCAATTTGGAACTCATATAATAGCTGTAATACCGAAAGATGGATATTTTGAGAAAATGACATGAAAAGTAGCGCTATATAATGCAACTAACTAAGGATGTCGAAAACCTGGTGACTCCGTCAGAGAAGATTTTCTCCTTTAAGAGGACAGAAATCAAATTACCAGTCTTTGATGGTGATTCTGTCTTCTTTGACTAGCTACTCAGACATACTTGAGATGTGCTGATATGTCATAAAATTTTAGTGTTAATGTTTTTGCTCGGGGGATTTATCGTCAGCCTAGCCTAATTACAATGCTAGAATGCAGAATCTCTTATTTGATGGAGCATACTGGAATTAACTTGCAAATAGGATGCGGGCACTACCCTTTATTACCTCCCTAGGCTGATTTATCTTATTATTTCGTAGCTATCGCTCTTCCAATTTCCGAAATTTTCTATTTATTTTTTTCCTAGATAATAATGCAAGCACAGCTCTTTTATATAACAACTAACTAAGGCTAGCTAAGGCTGTCAAAAACCTGTTGGTTTTATATAACAACTAACTAAATATTATTGTATTTATTTTGATTTAATGAAAATTATTACAGGAGAAATGAATTCCAAGTTCCCAATACTGATTACGGAACTGAAATATGCAGAGGATGCAAATGCATAATTTTTTTTTGCATTATTTATTGGTTTGATTGTGTGTATTATTTCTTTAGGTGGAATTTAAAATTTTTTTTTGTTCTATTTTAATATTATTATGTATTGTCCTTATATAATTTCATGTTGAAATTGTTTTATTATTTTCAAGTTGAATTTCAATATGAATTTTTTATATATTTTCTGTTGCATTTTCAGATTCAAATTTGGGTTTCAAACGGGTTCATATTTCAATGGATTGAATGAATTTATGATTAAACGGGTATTTAAATAGATTCAGGTAGTATGCGGGTAATGTCTAAACTGATTCAGGACGGAATCGGGAATTATTAGTTTATTCCTTAACAGATTCGGGTACTTAAGCAGCTATTAGAACTTATGTTTCAGAGGAGAAAATTAAAAAAAGAAACGAAACACTGGAACTTTTGTGAAATTGGTAAAGGTGGTGATTGTCCGCTCAGAAGGTATTCGATGAATGGCTTTTGGATTATTGATTTATCCATTTAATTTATTTATGGTTTTCAGGCAATGGATGTTTCTGAGGAGGAGCGATATAGGCCAGATGCGGGATTTGAAGAAGATTCGAGGGAACCTCTTGTTGATCTTTCCTTGACCGACTCTACAGAGCTTTGGCTCATTCAGTGGCCTCATAATGAAGTAAGATTTCCTTTTTTTTATGTCTTTAGCCTTCTGTTTCTGTTGTTTTACTAAAAAAAGCGCTAATTGACTTGTTTGACGTGATATGCCTATGCTTAATGTATTGTTTATATAAGCCAAAATCCAAAGTTTGAGTTTTAATGCTCGTTCTTGTGTTGTTTGTATTGCAGCTTCCTGATTTTCAAGGGAAAGAAATATCCCTCGGTCTTCATCGTGATGGAAGTTTGGGCAGTTTTGAGAGTTCATCTGGTAACCACAAGAAATTCTCTTCTCTGATTATTGTGTGGTGGAATTTTGATTTTCAAACCATGTTAACCTGCTAATGCAATTTTCATTATTCAAATAGCTTGTTTCTTATACAAATCGGCCAATCTCATTATATGCATTAATTGGCAATGAGGTGATTTTGTGATGCTGTATCAGGGAAAATATATGATGTTGTGAGCTGTAATGCGCAAGAGTCTGATGCAACAGTTTTCCTATCCTCTTCATCAGAAACCAAAATTGGTAAGCACACCTATGGTCATTATTTTCACTCCTCAGATGATATGTTTTAATTTTTACTATTATATATTGATTAGAATTACTTAACTCTCCATGCTGTTACTTCTGTTACATTTCTTTTCTTTCTTTCTTTAATATTTCCGAGTTTTTTTTGTGTGTGTGACTTTTTATAGGTACTTAGGGTTCATTTATGGTAAACTATTTGTTCCAAAAGGATGTTTTGAAAATCTTTTGGCTGGGTGTTAAATAGACACAGTGAGTAGGAGTTGAATGATTATTGGAATTGGAGAACATGGTTGTTGGTAGGGTTGAATGATGTAAATGAATTATAACCACATGAAGGCCATTTTGTCCTTGGTTGATAGTGGAAGTGCTCTAAAGTTCTCTCTTGAAAGATCATGTTTGAAAATTTTGTGAAATCTGTTTATCCTTGCCCTTGGTTATTACCTAGTCTTGGCATAATATTGTTGATTTATGTATTGTGATGTATTGAATTATACAAGATTATTTTCCTTGATAAATGTACTTGTTTATATTTGACTGAACAGTGTGAATCCTATTGTATTTGCATGCTAATGACATGGTTATATACATTTACAGTTGGGAATATTTCACGGCGAGTTTCTCTTGTCCATTATCCTGATCCTAAAGAACTTGAGAGGCAAGAAGCTGAAAAAAAATCAAAACGATTGCATCAGATGTCTGCTGCATCTTCAATGTTAAACTCTTCCCATCGTTTTTCAACCCCGACTCAAAGTAAGCTTAGGAGCTCATATTCATCCAAGGGACATGGAGCCTCAACACATAGTAGCAGACATAGAAGTTCTTTGTCTGAAGTTGGGGAGCAATCAAGTGCAAAAAAAAGAAAGCATAAAAATGAACTTACTGCATTGACAGATCGCTCTACACTAGATTCAGGGCGGAGTCGCAGTGAAAACAATTTTGCAGGGTCATCAGAGCATTCACAATAGGGGATCATGAAATGACTGATAAAGTATGCAAGAGTGAGGCTCTCTTACTGGCATTTTGCCCTCCCCCCGAATTCTGTTCTGTCGACTTCTATAGATACCAATGATGTGATGGTTTTGAAGAAACGGTATGCCGAGCTTCCTTTTGTTTCGTTTCATTAAATTAATAATGAAACCCAGAGTTAAGCAATTTCATTTCACTATTATCTATATGTAGGAGTTGTACTGTAGTTTGCTGACATGAACTCTCTAATAATGACATATTCCCTTAGTGGACTTCACCGCTATAAAGAAATGAAAAAAAAGAAATATATAGCTTGCTGCTACATTTATAAATTGCAAAGAAATGAGTTGTTTGATAACAGTTTCTATTTATACTTTTTTTTAGCTTTGACCTTAAAATTAGGTAGTTCTTGTGGTTTAGTGAAATACACTAATAAGAACCTCATTTTTCATTGTTTTACACTATTTAGTCTCTATATAATAATTCTCCTTTAAGGGTGTTTTTGATATTTCACAGTCATTTAACGGAAAAACTATCTATTACACTATATTTAAAATTATAATGTAGTGACAAAATAATGTATTTTTGAAAACTATATATTTGATAAAACATAGAGATTATATAATAATTATCCCAAAACATGATGTCTGGTTCACTAGTGGAAAAGATGGCGGAGATAGATGAATCGTGATGAGTGAAATAGACAGGGAGGCCATGTAAGAACAGATTGAAGAAAGAGAATGGATTGAAAGAGACAACGTGCAAGAAAGGAGGAAGATTGAAGAGAAATTGAAATTAAAAGTAATTATTATTATCATTATTAACTTGGACATTTATTAATTTTTTTTTATTTGTTGACCGTATGATATCCACGTATCCCTCCCAGCCAAAAAAAAAAAAAAAGAAAGAAATTGAGAGAAATTGAAATTAAAAGTAATTATTATTAACATTATTAACTTGGACAATTTAATTAATTTTTTTTTATTTGTTTGACCGTATGATATCCACGTATCCTCCCAGCCAAAAAAAAAAAAAAAGAGTGAAATATGTCAATTAAAAAAAAAAAAAAAAGAGTGAAATTGTCAAATTTGATGCAACTTTGTAGGCATGTTGTTAAAAAAAAAAAAGTCACTTTTGAACTTTTAGTTTATTGAATTCAAGTTTAAGGGGATTGAACATTCTTTCTTATTTTATTAGTGTTTAGACTTTAGAGCATGGTTCTTAAAATTGAACCAGACCGATTGGTTTACTGATTTAATCGGAAACTAAATTATGGTCCAATCGAAGTTGAATAGTTAAAACAGCAGGCTAAAAACTATTGAAAATCAATAGAAATTATATAAGGCTTACTGATTTAATCGGAAATTAAATTATGGTCCAATCCGAGTTGGATAGTTAAAACGGTAGGCTAGAAACAGTTGAAAATCAATAGAAATTATATAAGGACCATTGAATCTGTTCGAGTAATTGCTGCAATTCAAATAAGGCCAATAAAAAAAAAATGAAAAATCAGAGGAAAAAAAGATCGGAGAGTGCGAGTTAATCCATAATCAGATTGTGGCTGAACCAATTTAGCCTAAAGCAACTCACCTAGAGTCGGCGGCAAGACTCACCACCCCGTGGTCTGGCTCTAATCGGCAGTTGAAAATTTGAGAAAAATTAGACTTGTTTTTGAGTTTTTCTTTTTTCCTCTCTTCGATGTTTGTTTCCCTCTTTCTAGTTACTGTTAATGGAGGTGAGTTATCACGCGCTTAAGGGGCTAACGGTTTCAGTCCCGGTTTGTGATTTTTTTTTTTTTTTTTTGAAAATTTAAAATTTAAATATTTATGAAATAATTTTTAGAAAAAACTTAAAGAAAAAGTTAAAAACATGCTTAACTTAATTTATTTATTAAATTGAATTTTTTTTTTAAAAAAAGGATTTGAATTTAATTTATTTTTTATAAATGAAATTAGGTATTTATAGTAAATTTAAAAAATTAATTTTTCATAAATACCTTTAAATAGCCGTTATATAGTTGTTGGGAGGGTTAATTTTGAGATTTTACAGAAATATTTGAAAAAATAAAAAAAAATTATTGAAATCGGATGAAACTGTCGATTTGAACCGTCGAAACCACCGATTCTAATCGGTTGGAACCGTTGGTTCACAGTTCTTCAGAAATTGAAACCAAAATCAAACTGCAGACCTCTGGTTCCTCATGGTTCTAGTTATGGTTCCCATCAGTTTCGAACCGGTGATTCCGATTCGAAAAATCGAAAAATGGCCACCCCTACACTCGCTCATTCCTCTCCTCAATTCACATTACTTCCACCATAATCAATATATACTTCACGCATATCAATATATATATATATATATATATTATATTATATAATATAATAATATATTTATTATAACTATATTATAACTATTGCAATATATCTTTATTATATTTTGCAAAATAAATATTGTCTTTGATTAATTATTTCCAAAATAAATAAAAACTTTGCTTTGTTTATTATTATAATTGGTTAAAATATTTTATTAAATTGGATTTTATATTTATATATATTAGGCTCATGAGTTAAGGATATACTATGTACAATTTTTATCTTATAAAAAAATATTATATTTACAAATTTTTTTTAATTATATTATAAAAAATCAGTTGAATAGCATTAATTTCAATTGAATCCTCAGTTTAAGAATCTTTATTTTCACCGGTTCAAAGTTTAAGAATCTTTATTTTCACCGGTTCAATGATTGATTTGATTATTTAATTACTGGTGAAAAAGAACATTAATAAAATGATTCTCAATTACTAAAACAACGAAGCATAGATTAACTAGAAAAGCTACTTTATGGAATATGGCGTTTAAGTGTTAATTTAGAGGTAATTATCCAATTATATTTTACACAAAATACTATATCTGTTTCATAATATTTATGACATTTGAGAAAATAGTTTGTTCTAAAATACCTGTCACATTTATGGTTTTAAGAAGTAATAAATATTTTTTCCAATGTTTACCTTTTGTATATACTCCCCCTGTCCCAAAAAGATACTTCATCTTTTCTTTTTGGTCTGTCCCAATATATAGTCCACTTTATTTTTGTACATTATAGTTAATCCTTAAATTATTTATTATATCTTTATTAATTTTATTTTATTTTCAATAACTCTCATCAATTCTTACGTATTATTCCAGTATAATAATTACTTATGTGTTAAATAAGATGGACATAATAGAAAAGTTATATAAATAAATTGTCTTTTAGTCATAATAATTTTATTTTCTTAATTTATGTGAAAATAGAAAGTAACTTTTTTTTTTGGGACCGAAGGAGTAACAAAGAATTATTACTTTAATTTAATAAATTTCTTAAAAATTAATATTAAATTAAAAGTAATAACTTTAAATTTAATAAATTTCTTAAAAATTAATATTAAAATTAAAAGTAATATAATCTATTTATTTCAATAATTTATTATAATTTAAATAATTTGAAAAATCTTATTAAGACAACCTTAAGAAATTTTTCGAAATGTGATAACTATCAATGTGACAGAAGGTAACTATATATATATATAATTATAATATATATATATATATATATAATATATATATATATATATAGACACCACAGCCGGTAAAATTGCCCTAGAATTTTTTAAAACAAATCTGCTCACATATAGACACCACAGCCGGTAAAATTGCCCCTAGAATTTTTAAAACAATCTGCTCACCCTATTCGGCAGAGGAGGAAAAGCAAAGCCGCTCCAAAATGACTGATTGAGGGCGCGCCATTTTTATGTTTGTTCTTGAGGGTGTGAATGGTGCGGAAAATGGAATGGGCAGGAAAAGAAAAGCACATGGGAGGGATTCCCAGGAAGATGGCATTCATGGCAGTAGGGGCATTTGCTAAGGCAGTTGCCAATCTTCTCAACACAACTTGTGTTCACAATGCGGATACGCTTGTTCGTCTTGTCCGATCTCGACCCCCTGGGGTACCCCTCATCACTGTTAGCAATCACATGTCCACGTAACATGTCATAACATAACATATCTCCTTCCGTTTGATATATTATTCTTCTGCTTTCAATGCTATTATTCTTACTTTGTTTTTTTCCTATTAGGTTGGATGATCCAGTCATGTGGGGTTTCGCTGGTTTTCCAACCTTCGATTCAAATTTAGCTCGATGGGTTCTGGCCGCCGAAGACATTTGTTTCAAAAATCCGCTGCTGTCTTATTTTTTCCGGCTTGGTAGTATTTTCTTCACAATATTCAGTCAGTTTTATTTTTTCTTGTTTTGGATTTTGTATTGCCTCGTTTATTTGGTTTTTCAGTATTTTGGTTGTCTTTCTTTGTTTCACCTTATATAGATCTGATCTGAGCATGAAAAATTAGCTGAAGCTCACCTTAGAAGTTAGAACTCTTATGCTATCAATTGAATTGGAGCTGTAGCTTATATTTGTTGAAAATCACTAAATAAATTACGACATGCACTTAGGAAGAAGATGTAATCATTTTCATTTTGGTTATAGTACTCTTGACTTGAATTGTTTCAAGGTTAGTCCTGAGGGGTTCATGAGAGGGTTTTACCTAGTCAGTAACTGTAACCGTGCGAGTTTCATTTATATAGTTTGCTCATTAAAATCCACAAGACTATTTTGTTTGTAAGCATGCAAAGGTTTCTTCACCTTTACTCTCACGTGCTATTGAAATATAATAATGGTCTCAGAGGCTGGAAGAAGATGATGCTCAGTTGAACTGGATTTTTTACAAGGATTAAGTAATAGGTATAAAAATTCATGTAGTGTGTGAGATTTGGATGACTATTTTTGGATTGTCTATGGTGGGGGTGGTGTTCCACAAAGATGTCCTTTTCTTAATTAAAGAGGATGTTGTTGGGAAGCTGCATAGCTGTATTAATTTTTGAGGAATTAGGAAAGCGAACATAGTAAAAATTAGTAGAATTTAATCAATTGTATTAGCTAAATAAGGTGTCTAGCCATTGTGCATAGCTTCAGAACTCTTTCCTCACTGCTTGTTTATTATAATAGTTTGCTTCTGTAAGTAATAATGTTCTGGATGATATATGTTTTTGGTTTTAGTTTCATTTCTTTTTCCTTTTGTCTGTTCTATACTGAATGTGTTACTGATGCTTCACTGAAGTCTTTTGTGCCTTTATAAATGGAAAAGAAAAAGATATGCTCATTAATATTCTTTTGCTAAAGAAGAATTTTGGTAGAATTTGTCGTTGATCAACTAAAGGTAATAATCTGTTGCATTTTTTCTTATTGCTACTGTAACCTTCATTTTTGAAGTTTATTGTGGTAGGGTGCTTTCTCTTTCTCTCTTTATGAGAATGTTTGATCCTTGAAAATAAATCATATTTGATTTATCTGGTGTTTGTTTCAAACATAATTGTTTCTGAACTTGCAAATTGTGCAGGTAAATGTATACCGATTACTAGGGGTGCTGGAATTTATCAAGACCCCATGAATGAAGCTCTTGAACACTTGAGCAATGGCGCATGGGTATTTAGTCTTGAAATATTGTACCATTAATTATCCACGTTATTAAGATACACCCTTTTCATATGGAGTCTCTTCTAACAAGGTTCATGATTTCATTATGTTTTGTTTATGCATTTTGTCTGTTATTCTAATGAACTCCTTAAACCTAACTTTAGTGATTACTAGCCAGAGATGCATGGGGACTTGGGGAGAATGTAATCTGTTACGTATTGGCTAGTAAGGAGGGCATCTCAACTTTGGTTAAACTTCTCATTGAATTTGTTCTTCTTCTAATGTTCTTATTTTGAGAACATAGACTTAGATTACAGTATCTTTTGTCATATCTCTCATGTTGATATTCCACTTCAAGTTATTTGCTCTTGTTTCCACTCTATCATCTCTAATCAAGCTCTTCATTTCCTTGACTGCAAAAGAATAACCAAAGTCTTCTTTTGAATATTTATCGAGGGGAAAAAGAAAAGCTCAAAAGGGTTCAAATTTGGGGAATTAGGAGGTATGCAACTTCAATTAGCCAAATAAATACAAGTTAGATTCTTTGATTGGGATTAAAGTCTGTTCAATTCATTCCATAGTTTTGTCTTTATTGCCGTTCCCCTTGATTTCATTTTGTTTTGTGCGTATGTGCTCTTTATGGCTTCAGATTGTTATTTTTTTTAAAGAATATTTAGTTCCAATGTTCTATAGATGAGCATTTGTTAGTACTGTATGGGACTTGACCCTGACTTTTCCTTTCCACAACTTCCTTTCTCCCTTTCCAATACAGGTTACTAATGGTCACTTTTGTGAAATCTATAGGAGCCTATTCAAAGTAGTTGTCTGACCACCTGCTTCATTTTCCTGATGAATAGAAACAGAATGATTGTGGACTTTGTATCAATGACATGCTCAGAGGGATTATAGAATTGATAGTATTTTTTCTTACTATACTATAGCTGTGCAAGAGATGTAACCAATTTATATTTTCTTAGTTGATGTCCTGATTTTGTAAATGGACCTCTAAATAATTTGTATGATGAGATGATTACCTTATTTTCTGAGATGAGATCACAATTTTGTTAGTACTTGCTGTTGCACTTGCTGTGGTATAACTTGGCAGATCTCATAGGCTTGCAATTCTCATAGATTTGTGCATGAGGTTTTTTATTATGTGCATAGCACAGTTGTTGCTGTGAGTGGTTTGACTTTTTTTCGGTTATACGAGTGAATTCCATTTTATCTTTTTCCCCCTTCTATTTTACCTCCAGATTTGCATGCTGTTCTTGATGTTTTTTTTTTTTTTTTTTTTTTTTTTTTTTTTTTCCCCTTCTATTTTACCTCCCAATTTGCATGGCTGTTCTTGAATGTTTCTTTTTTTTTTTTTTTTTTTTGTTTTTTTTTTTTTGGTCCCTAATGAAACAGCTGCAAATACATTTCCTGAAGGAAAAGTTTCGCAGGAATGATGCTCCGATAAGACGATTAAATGGGGAACGCTAAGTCTCAATTGTTCGTGCCTTTTTTTTTTTTTTTTTTTTTTTTTTTTTGGTCCCTAATGAACAGCTGCATACATTTCCTGAAGGAAAAGTTTCGCAGGATGATGCTCCGATAAGACGATTAAAATGGGGAACTGCTAGTCTCATTGTTCGTGCCCCTATAACTCCAATAGTTTTGCCCATTATTCATCATGGTTTTGAGGAGGTAACTTCTGCATCTTTTTGTTATCTGAATGTATAAAATCTATAAAAAGGTTGCCTCCCTCTTTTTGTTTTTGGCAATCAATGTAGGCTTTTGTTTGCCAGAAACTACAAACATATATATGTTCTGCAAAAAATGCACCAATTTAGGCCACTATATTTTCTTCAGAGCTTATTATTTCTGAGGTGGGGCATATATTTGGAATCCAAACAAATAGCAGTTCAGCCCTATCCAGGTTTCTTGATATTATTTGTATCCAGGCAGTATTGCTAAGTACTTGCTTGAAGCTTGACGCTATAAGATGATAGGTAAAGTTTGGCTTTGACTATAAAGACCGGGTAGGGTACCACTGGGTTCAATTACAGCTTAAGTGCTGTCTGACCTATCTAAGCGAAAACGGCACATATTATTTTCTATAAGGGCTTTATGTCATCATTCTTCCTTGAGACTTTTTTATCCTTGCCTCTCATTGATGTGGCAGCACTCTCATTCCTACACATACTTGCAGCTTATTGTCACTGAGCTCAAATTTAGTCAACCTAGAATGGGATCTATAACATGTTGATGCTAAAGAGTAAAGGGGAAAATATTTGAATGTTGTTGGTGTTCCTTCTCCTTTTTCTTTCTTGATCAGTTTCTTGTTCAGACACGATTCTTGATGACGAGATCTATGAGTGATTCTTGTAAATATTTGAATGTATTTACAAGACATGGTAGTACTTCCATTTCAACACTGTTTGCAGTTTGATTTCAGATGCAATGATGATTAATTAGTTTAGTCCCTATCAGATTTGGGTTTTTTCAAGTATGTTTGAAGTTATGTGGCATGGAATTAGGTTGTTGAGAAGTTTTATGTGAAATTGGACAACATTTATATCATGTTATATTGTGTGGGGTAAGGAGGCTTGTAAATGAAAACTTTGAATGCTTTATTATGTGTGTCCAGGTATCCTAGCAGTTCCACCCGTAATCACTTATGTTTAAATTAAAGTTCCAGAGGATGCTATCACTTCAAATTGCTCAATATGTTGACTCATGTGTGTGCTTTTAATTCTCATCCTGACTGTACCATTTTGTTCTTTTCTATATTGTCTCATTTCACACCATGGAGTATAATTGCAGGTGATGCCTGAGAATTATTGGTTGGGAAGAAGGCCTCTTTTTCCATTATGTAACAAGAGAATTAACATAGTTGTTGGTGAGCCAATAAAATTTGACCTTCCTAAAATGAGGCAAATGGCAATTTCTATGTCTCGTGATTCACCTATTCGTACAAAAGGATGGCCCTACATTTCCCAGTATGGATTGGACGAAGCAGCACAGAGGTGTCTCTACATGGCTATTTCTGACCAAATTCAGCTAGTTATGGAAAGATTAAGATGTTTGGGGAAACGTTCTGTGAAGTAAAGGATACAATGCATGCATCTTGAGACTTGGAGAATTTGGCTTGCGCTGTCCTATCACGCATGTGCAGCAGCGGAAAATAAATGTTGGGCAATTTAAATAACTTTCAACATGGATAGATATTTTTTTCCTGATGTTGAAGAGGTTTGGTTGGTTGTGAGGTTTTATTCTCCTATTGATATTTGATTTATTCAGATAAACCTCTTTTACTGAACAAATCTTGAAGAGACTGAGTTGATTAATTTGCACCAAAATATTTAATCAGCAGGAGAACTAGATTTGGTAATATTGCATGAGAACTGGATTTGGTAATTTCAGTGGCACTTGCCTTCTCATTAGGAATATGAAAATTATCTTTTTAATGCATGAGCGCTCAAGTACTGTCCACTGAAGCTAAGTTTCAGGTATTTATTCATATTCCCATTCTATTTTTTTTTTTGGCTCAATCCTCCTTGTTATAGGTTAGTTAAAGATATGACCATGGGTTGATTACAACTGGTTCTGGTTCACTGTTCTTGTCGGTTTTCGCTGGTTTCTGGTCAGATCCTCTCCAGTTTTGGTCTTGCCGTGAGAGCTTTATTCTTAAAAAGAAAGGGTTTCTAAACATTTTTCTTTTTGTAGTTTCTTCTAGGGAGAAAATGGAAATGGAATTAGAATCATGGGGCCCATGGTAGCCAGAACTGGCCCTTTGACTACCTCTAGTTGCTTAGGTTTAGATCTAAGGAATGAGTAAAAAATATTGTCCTGTTAGTTTCTACTAGATATTTTCATGTCAGTAATTTAGCAAGTCACCAGCCGCCAGGGAAAAGGTTTGTTTCACAAAGAAAACCACTTCTAAGTCCTTATCATGATTCAGCCTGTTGTCTTGGATCAATACGATTGTTTTCATGTTATTAGCTCCTTCAAACGATTGTTGTGCTCTGACATTGGTAAAACCTTATTGCTTTCTTCATTTTCATGTGTTGTATCTTGAGCAGACTTCTGTCTCACTCTTTTGAAAATGACTGAATAGCTTCTCTGGAAATCAATGATTAGCATTTAGATGATCATGATATCATAATTGAACTGTGCCATTTCTCTTTACAAATAAAGGGAAAAAAATAATAAAATAAATGAAGTGCTGGATGGCGAAGATGAAGTATTGCTTTATAATTCCTTTTTTGATACGTTGAGTTCTTAGCTTGCAGGAATTGATGGCCGTCCGTGATAGCCTCTTCTTCCTACTTCAGTCTTCCATTGTTGACTCCCATGTGATTTGGATGAGTAATGAGGTTCTGATTTGTACGTCCATTATCATGCAAAACATTTAGTGGCTCTGATGTAATTTAACTTGTGTGCTCACGAGTCATGAGGAATGTAAAACATGTAGCTTTGCAATACAAGTTGTATTCTCTATCTTGTAGCAGTTGCAATGCAGGTGTGACAAAAAGTGAAGAGGTTAAATCAGGAGGGGGGCCCCCCAATCCCAACGAGTAATAAGTGCATTGCTAGCGTTTGGGATCTCTTCCAAACTCTCATGCTTTATCTTAAATTCTACGACTCCATTGAGTAACCAACTTCCAAAGCTTCTGGTCTGGTGGTTTTAGTTTTGGTCATTTTGTTTTGCTTTTTTAGCAAGTGTTAGGGTGATGCAAGCGGCAAAATAGAAAAATCGATATCCATTACTCCTGAACGTAGTAGAGTGACTTTCAATGTATTCACAAGTTTGGTATAGGGCATTCTGGCAGGAACAATCCGAAGGTACGTGGATACCTTGCTGTTAATTATTCAATGAGCCACCCGGTGTCTTTTTCTTGGCAAAGTGCCTGGGCCGGCGGGGCCGGCAATCCAGCAACTCTGTTTGCATGGTCCCGTTCCTCAACTCAAACAAATAATAATTGCATGTCAACATGGCATCTTCCCCTTTCCAAAGCATCGTCGTGTAGGCCAATTGCTACGGACAAAGATTGTGGATGTGGGTCCCCGGAAATTTCGTCACATCATATATTGACTGATTCTGTGAAGCGATTCGAAGTTAAAAAAAAAAAAAAAAAAACAATGAACCTAATAGAGTGAATCATAATTCATAATTCATAGTAGTAGATTAGCAGTTGCACCATCCTGAAATGCAGTAGCTGGAAAATCTGTTCTCATCCTGATTACAATGCAATAGTTGGCATCTAACAATAATTTGATCTTATTAAGCGACTAGCGTACTAATAACCAAAAACAAAAATCAAAATACTTGTAAGTAACTCGGGTTTAGGGCCCATATCATATAAGATGCACGGTCCGAGACCCGTGTACCGAACTGTGTTTTCATACTTTATGCTATATGAAATGAAATGAAAGTCTTCCATCTTTATTTTGTTACGTTACGCTCACGAATCAGCTATTGTCAGGTGACTATATCTGCGTGCGGTAAATTTCGAAATGGAAATTATTACATCAAATTCATTACATTACATAAAGTTTACTCTTCCAGCAAAAGTCTTATAACTAAATTATGCAGTATGGTAAAAAGAAAAAGTGAAAAAACAATGATAAATACATAATGGTCGGATTTTCTTTTTGTCTTGATGCGAGGAGAAAGGTAAGCGTGTTGCTGTATTATAATCTATTCACAGAATATAGAAAAGGGAAATTCAGTAAATGCAGATTAATATTGGAGTGGAGAGCGAAATGAAAAATTAGTATACTGAAAAGGTGGAAGAGGCAGAGGGTCATTTGAAATTTGAAGTGGTTCGGATGAGAAAGCAACCATTTATAACACTCTCGTGATTCATACCATCGTTTTCTCTCTCTTCGCATTTTCTCTTTGTAATGAATAAGAGCTTCTGCTTCTTCTTATTCAGCGCAGATCTCTGAATCTCTCTGGTCAGCATAAAGGTGGGCGCTTCTGTTCCTCTTTTTGATGCATTTTGTTTCTCATCTTTTCATTTTCCATTCCGATTCCATCTATCTTCACCTGAATAGTGAATGTCGATCCATGTTTGTTTTCAAGTCCATTGTCTGTCTTCTTTGCGTTTAGATCTTCACTCTCTTCTTACATTTGCTCATAATTTCTGCTCCCACTTTTTTTTTCCTCTTATTTTCAAAATTGGTGTTTGATTACTCGGAAACTGTGTCATCTCTTCCTTTTATTTATTATTACTTTTCCTTTTTTCTCATCCGTACGAAATTTGAAAACCACCTTATCCTTTCCATTTTATTAACTGTCTGCTTATTCATCTACATTATTTTCCACAATATCAAATAGTCTTCTTGATGCCAATGGTTCTGTATGCTTCTGTGTTTTCTTCTTCAAGTTTAGATAGTTAGTTGCGTTTAATGAAATAAAATTTGATGTGCAGCAAACCAATCCATGGCCCATAGTGTAAGATCGAGTATGTCTTCCTTTAGTTCGACCTATGGCAATGAAGACACTCCTTTACACACTTCCGCCTCTGTTTCAAATGGGGATGGATATGACAGTGACGGCTCCAATTTCGCAACGCCGTAAGTCTAATATGCCATTGTTTAGTCTTCTTCTTTATCCCTTGTTCTGTTCTCATTGCAATGAGGTTACCATTGTTTAGGCTTCTTCTCTGTTATTTGCACCTTTTTTACTCAAAACACTACTCAAAATGGAGGTTAAGCTCGACTCATGTGGATTAAACCTTATAATAGTTTGCTAAATAAGTTTACCAGGTTCGAGATAGATTTTCTGTCCAGCCTGTCCACCGTCTGACAACTTGTGTTTCTTTTATTTGTAACTTCTAGTACACAAGCAGCACTGTCAGCCGCTATTCCTGCAGAACTTGCTGGTGCTATACCTTTGATTGATAAATTCCAGGTGACATAATAAGTTGTCTTGCTTTATATGTAACATTTGAAAGAATACTAGGTTGGGATTTTGCTATTGAACTTATAAACCATCATTTGTTGCTGACAATCATCTATATTTCATAAGCTCTATATAATTGTTCTTTGTAGGTTGAGGGATTCCTACGGATGATGCAGAAACAGATTCAATCCACTGGAAGGCGAGGTTTTTTTTCCAAAAAATCTGTTGGCCCTCAAGTTCGTGAAAAGTTCACTTTTGAGGATATGCTTTGTTTTCAAAAGGTTAATGGCAATCTTGTATTCTTGTATGTGCCAAACCCATAAAGAGCTAACTTGGAGCTTTTTGCAGGATCCAATACCAACTTCACTACTTAAAATAAATGGAGACCTGATAAGTCGAGCAACGAAATTGTTTCAAATAATTTTGAAGTACATGGGAGTTGATTCATCTGATCGAGTACCTCCAGTAAGCTTGGATGAACGGATTGAACTTGTTGGAAAATTATATAAGCATACACTAAAACGAGCAGAGCTTAGAGATGAACTTTTTGCTCAGATTTCAAAGCAAACCAGGAATAATCCAGACAGGCATGCATATTTTTATTTTGTATATCAATGTGGATATATATATATAAAATTTGTTTTCATGGGCTTGATAAATTCTAAACTTTGGATTTACGGCAACATGCATCAATCCCTGTGCTAATGTCCAAAAGCTTGTGTTTTCAATTTTCAAATTAACCTGACAAATGATGAGGTTTGGCTTGTAGGAAAGTCCAAATTAATTGTAACAAATGTGATTGATTTTACTTGTATTAAAGCCCAAATTAATTCTTTCCCTTTACTGATTCTAGCTATCTTTGTTGATTTTTTAGGCAATACTTGATTAAAGCATGGGAACTAATGTACTTAAGTGCATCCTCCATGCCACCAAGCAAGGACATTGGTGGATATTTATCTGAGTATGTTCACAGTGTAGCATATGGTGCAAATACTGATTCCGAGGTCCAAGTCCTAGCAGTAAATACATTAAATGCTTTGAAGCGTTCTGTTAAAGCTGGTCCAAGGCATACAATACCAGGACGGGAGGAAATTGAAGCTCTTCTAACAGGCCGAAAACTTACAACCATAGTATTCTTTTTGGATGAAACTTTTGAAGAAATCACATATGACATGGCAACAACCGTAGCTGACGCTGTTGAGGTACTTTACTTGTATTTTCCTAATGCGGATATATTTTGTAGTAAAGCAAAAATCACAACTTAGAAAGAGAAAAATAAAAGCAAAGCAGTTTTTGAAGCTAATTTTTTTTTTTTAATAGAAATGAGCATGTATAAAAGGAATCATTCTATAATTGAAGGAAAAATGGCACTTTAATGGGCATGTAGAAATCAATCTTAATTCTCCGTGAAGCAAAACTTTGCCGTCCCAAAAAAAAAAAAAAAAAAAAAACTAATAATTGAAGGAAAAAATGGCAACTTTAATGGGCATGGTAGACAATCAAATCTAATTCTCCGTGAAGCACAAAAACTTTGGCGTCAAAAAAAAAAAAAAAAAAAAAAAAAAAATTGGAGATGTATCAAGTGTGTTAAATTTTCCGTTGTGTTGGGCATTTGTTTGATTGAATCCTAGCAAAACTTGTTTGGTTGTTGGCTAAATGGGAATCCCCATTTCTTTATCTTTTGGAAACTAAGTAGATAACAAACCCTTATATATTCTAGTTCTTTTGAAATGCTTCTTGTAAACAACTTTGGGTGACTCAAGGCATCTTGTGAGCTCATTATGTGTGACACCACAGTCCCACATTGAAAAGGGATTTTTGAGATTGTTTGAGTAGATAGATATTTGTGAACTACTACTAATATCTAAGGCTGAATTTTTGGCCAAGTGGATAGGTCTAACCCTGCTCCAATCATTGGACTCATAGTCTATATGGGCCAGGATCATGACAATGGTACCAAAGCTACCTTTGTGACTTGAAAATGGTTAAATGAACGGAAAAAAAAAAAAAAAATATGAATTCATTTTTTTTTTCAATAGAATTAATGCATGTATTAATTTTTTTTTAATGGAAAATGTTAAAAGTAAATAATTGGCTAGATAGATCTTTTGTTGGGGAAAAATTCCTATTATTGCATGGAAGTTCACTTTGTCAAATGTTGCTAGGCTACACCAATGGCAAAGATTATGCATATGTTCTATTAAAGTCTTTCTTTTTCTTCCAGCTACCAAGATGATTTTATATACCTGACCTCAACTAGTTTGGGATTAAGGCTTAGTTTCTTGTAGGCATGGCCGGTTCATTGAACCGCCGATTTTGGTTCACAGAACCGACGGTTCAAAATTTTTAAAATGTTGAACCTGAACTGGCCTTTGAACCGCCGGTTCCGGTCTAGTTCCGGTTCCTGCCGGTTCTGGTGCGGTTCCGATGAACCGATGGTTCCAATCACGGTTTCCGGTGATATATGTTTTTTTTTTAGAAAAAATCGGTTCTAACGTTATATCTTTCTTTTGAAAATATGTTATATCTTTCTTTTGAAAATATTAATATGAGTTTAAAAAATATTGGTAAATTTTATTTTAAATAAATTTTAGAATGCTCATACTCATATAAGAATAGAATTAATTAATTTTACAAAATAATCAAATAACTTATCACTTTATTTTGTTTAAATGTTATTAATTAAATAAATTATAAGAAAATTTTGAAAAATGCTTCAAAAGAACGCAATTTTAAACTTAGTAAATAATTTAAAAGGGTAAAAAAAAAAAAGTTAAAAACAATATAAGTTTGGACTAAATATTTCTCTCTTTTTTTACCATTTTACTTTTTTTTTTTTTTAGAAAATTTTTTTTTAAACCTTTTTTTCAAAGTAAAAGGTTTTTGGGGGTTTCCTTTTAAAAAGAAAAAAACTTAAGTAAATTTTATATATCAATGTAGGTAAAATCTTATTGAGACTGTTTAAGAAAAATATTATTGAGACTTTTAGAGATGTATAAAATAGGCTAAGTGATTATTATTTTGAAAATAAAAATAGAAAATTTTCGGTTCGAACCGAACCGGAATTGCCGGTTAACCGACAGTTCAGGGCCGGTTCAGGTTCAAATTTTAACATTCATATAAACCTTAACCGGCCCTTGAATTGCCGATTCCGTTTCAAAATTTTGAACTGACGGTTCCGGTCCAGTTCCAGTTCATCTACAGTATGGTTCGATTCCTCCATGCCTAGTTTCTTCTTGTTGTAAATATAATTTTACATTAATGTGATTCATATTGTTTCAGGAACTCTCTGGGATAATTAAGCTGTCAGCATACTCTAGCTTTAGTTTGTTTGAGTGCCGGAAAGTTGTTACTGGTACCAAGTCGCCTGATCCTGGGAATGGTAATTATGTTTTGATTGTCTTCCTAGACAAACTTAATAGCATAGTTATCTAATGCACTCTATTCTTGTGTAGAGGAGTATATTGGGTTAGATGATAACAAATATATAGGGGATTTGTTGGCGGAATTCAAAGCAGCCAAGGATCGAAGTAAGGGAGAAATTTTGCACTGCAAATTGACATTTAAAAAGAAGCTATTTCGAGAGTCAGATGAAGCTGTAACAGACCCAATGTTTGTGCAATTATCATATGTTCAAGTGTGTAAACCAATCCTCAAGTATTTCAAAATTACCTTATAGTTTGCAATGATATTCATGCTTCCTTCCAAAATTTCTCACTTCTAGAGTTTGTGATGCTTGCCTTTCTTGGTACAGTTGCAACATGATTATATATTAGGTAATTATCCCGTTGGAAGAGATGATGCTGCACAGTTGTCTGCATTGCAAATATTGGTTGAGATTGGATTTATTGGTAGCCCTGAATCATGCACGTTAGTAGTTCTATTCCTTTGTCTAATTCTAGTTTAGTTTATTGATTTCTTTTTCTAATTTTGCATTGATTTGTTTTGTTTTCTAATTGCTAAGTATTGATTGGATTTCACATCTCTAGTATTTTTTTGTTGAAATTTGTATGCTGAATTAACATTTTGCAGCGATTGGACTTCTCTCCTTGAACGATTTCTACCTAGGCAAATTGCAATCACCCGAGGAAAGCGGGAATGGGAGTTGGATATTCTTTCTCGTTATCGCTCGATGGTTAGAACCCTATCTAGAAATTTCTTATTCATAATTTTATTATTTTAGCATGAATTTTATGTTGATATGCATTTCTAGTGTTTCTAAATTGTGATTATATTCTATGACTGAACAATTTGCTATTGTTTTTCTGGGAGTAGTAATTGCTATCATGTTTAATATTGAACATGCTACTGAAGAATCTTGCATAAATTTTTCTCATGTTCTTTTTGGAAGAATAACATTTTCACTTTCCATCTTGTTAGACAGTTTTAATTTTGTCATTTACTTGGTTTTGTTTTCTTTAGACTTCAATGACTGCGTCTTGTTTGGTTGTTTTAACAATGCCTTCCATTTTCTTTCTTTTGTTTTTACAAAATCATTGTGTTAATAATGTGCTGGAAAGAGGTCATTATCTATGCATTTCTATCAAAACATTAGTAATAACTCTTTTCTAGGATTAAGTTCATAATTTATCTGAAGTGGTCTGAAATAAATACATTTGAGCTTTCTATTCATTGTTGGTGAAGAAAACAAGGGTTGATTCAATTAGTTCATGCTATGTGCTTCTATGTTTAATTGTCATCGTAAAGCCTGCTTACCTAAGATCTTTTCTATTTGCTTCTCTTTTTTGCTTTTTACTTTTTTTTTTTTTTTTTTTTTTGCTTTTTACTTTTTTTTTTTTTTTTGACTTGGACTTTTCCATAGTTTTTTTTTTTTTTTTTTTTTTGACTTGACTTTTCATAGCTAAAAGTTCCGTGGATATGTAGGAACATCTATCAAAAGATGATGCAAGACAGCAATTTTTGCGAATATTAAGGACACTTCCTTATGGGAATTCAGTTTTCTTTAGTGTCCGCAAGATTGATGATCCTATCGGACTTTTACCTGGAAGGATTATTCTGGGCATCAATAAGCGAGGGGTACGAGTTCAACTTACACATTTTTCTTTCATGAGCCCCTGCTATAATTAAAAATATTCTTTTTTTTAGATTTTGTTCATATTATAGATCATTTTGTTTATTCATCTTCCGGCAGGTACATTTTTTCCGTCCAGTGCCAAAAGAATATTTACACTCAGCAGAGCTGAGAGACATAATGCAATTCGGAAGCAGCAATACTGCTGTGTTCTTTAAGATGCGAGTTGCAGGTGTTCTTCACATATTCCAATTTGAGACTAAGCAGGTTTAACAGCTCTAATATACCCATGCTTGTTGATTCTCCATCAATTGAATTCAAATACTTCACATTATGTTCTATTCCTTTGTTATATAGTTGAAATTCTGTCTTTGCAGGGGGAGGAAATTTGTGTTGCTCTTCAAACACATATAAATGATGTCATGTTGCGGCGCTATTCTAAAGCTCGGTCTGCTGCAAATGGCGTTGTGAATGGAGATCTTTCTAGTAGTTTTAAGCCTCCTAATGCAGAAGTGTATGAGAAACGTGTCCAGGAATTATCTAAAAGTATTGAGGAATCTCAAAAGAACAATGATCAGGTAAGTGATAAATGAACTATTTTAATTATGCTGGTTATGATGAATAGGCATGTTGTGAATGTGTTTGCGCCATTGTTCTTGGATGATATGGTTTATTCTGTTTCTCCTTATCTGTTTTGGGAATGACTAGAGTGGAGCTCCAAAGGCTATTAGTGATTTAGGATGAAGGAAGTCAAGTTTATTTTTGTGTTTGCTTTTTTTTTTCTTTCTTGCAAATATTTTAATTTAGGAGTTATTGTTTTAATTAGAAAACATAGAGAGTTTTGTGTTCTAATTAGTGAACATATGATTTTATTGTTCAAAAAATTTAATTTCCTCTTATTAAATATTTAGGTTATGATACTTTGTAATGTAGGTTTTTCCATTTTTAATTCTTTAAATAAAGATTTACCACTTATGGACATTTTTATTGTTGGGCTTTCCAGCTTGGGTATCATATGTAATTGTTTTACTTTTAAGTCAAGTGCTAATTATTAATAATTTCTGTGTGTTGCAGATGTGAAAACCTTTTGTAAAAACTAAAAATAGTTGTCTTATATTGTTGTTTTTTTTTTAATAATGAAATGATATTAATGAGCTAAACATGTTGATCTAGTTATTGGAAGAATTGCGAGAGAAGCAAAGGCAAGAAGCAAAGTTGCAAGAAGAATTGGAGGGCCTGAAAGATTCATTGAGATTTGAGAAGCAAAACTTGATAGAAGTTGCTTCTGATCGGGATAGACTTAGATCAATGTGTGCCGAAAAGGATGCAGCTCTTCAAGTTAGTGCAGTCAACTTTTGTAGCATTAGCCTTTTTTTGTAACAGTCCAGCCTATATAAACCACTTCATTTTTCTTATTCCTCTAATGTGGGATGTTACACTTTCTCCCCCTTTACCTTGCAACGTCCTTGTTGCCTATTTCATTTTTCTTTATTCCTCCAATGTGGGATGTTACACGCTCTCCCCTTTTATCTTGTCCCACATCTTTGTCAAAACTTGACAGCTCCATCTCGTGATTTCTAGACCCATATATCGCCTTTTCCTCATGTCCACCAGCTTTGTAACCTTATGTGCAGGGTGGCTCTGATCCCATTTCTAGTGGCCCAAACCAATATTGGCTTCAAATACCCTGCTATCTTACGGCACAACTGCCAAAATG